CCGGTCATGGTCCACTCACCATCCACCTCGAGCTGCCCGACATCCTCTGCGCAGACTGCACCTCAAAGCTGCAATGGGTCCATGTCCTCAAGGCTTTGACTAGTCGCTCGATGTAGATCGTGTACGATAAGCGGTGGTGATTGAATACATGTGTTACACTAAGATCTGCGTGATTGATTGACCAGAGAAGGTTACAACTCTAAATTTTTCCGCCACTCCCAGACTTGCTTGCCCCGTTGAGTGCCAAGGAATGATGGCGAGAATACTGGGGGCCTGGTCCATGATATCATGTCGTCGCGCGTCGGATCCACACCCTTGATCCACACATTGTTGAGCACCCAGACCCGCATTTGGATGAACTGGACTGCGCTCAATGTGAGCTCGTGGTCACGGATCCATTTCTGTCGTTGGCATGATGTCAGTGGTGAAATACCTGGGGGAAGCTGATGGAAGTTAACCATCAGCTGGTATACCAGTTTGGGAGTAAACGATTTTGCCCAATATGCACGAGAACGAGGTCGGAGATTGCGCCAACGGTGACGGGCTTCCCGATAGCTATTGCGTGTCAGTGACTATCGTAATTTGCAAAGGGCAATCGCACTCTTCTGCCAATAATGATCTGTGTCTCGGAACCACGTCAAGACCAACACCATCTCCAAGTGGGCAACAGCACTCGAGACGCAGTGCCAGGCCATCGAAAGACTCTACTGTTGTGTCGTTTAAACTCTCGCCACTGTTAAGCTTGTTCCGTGAGAGCGGAACAGTGGGGAGGGCACCCACCGGCCATCAGACACAATATCGGATGGTAGAAGAACGCTGATGTCGTCGTAGCAGGCTGAATCGGCAATAGGAACTGCTTCATGGTAGCTACCAATTGAAGCAGTCCGATATCTAGAAAGTGTCAGTGGGTAATATGCGGCATAGTTATTACACGCACCGAAAAGCAGCCATCTGCAATCTCTGTTGGCGTTGAGCCATGACAGTATCTTGTGAATCCAGACAGTTGTGGCTCGAGCTGGAAATGCTTGAGGGTGGCAGGGACTCGGATAATAGTGCCTGAGCCTGACGCCGGAGCAAGGGGAGTTTGCGCAGATTCCGAGCGCTTTTGGTTTGGGCACTAGACGATCATCCGGATGAGAAAATAGACTTGTATGCCAGAGGTTGTACCGTCGTTGAGCAGCTTGAACTTTCTCGCGTCTTCGAATCTCTTCGCGGTTGCTAAAGAAGACAATGGGGAACCAATCGAGGCCATGCAACTGACAACATACCGGAGGCGGTAGGCTTCCTGCTTTGTGGGCTTTCCTGTACCCAGCCGCTGTTTGCTGGGCGCTGTGAAGAGATGAGTTAGTAACTAGGAGGTCCAACAATCGGATACCTGATGTGCTCTTAGGGCGTTTGCGTTTTGCCATTCGCAGGGGCAGATGAAAATGCACAGAGAAGGGTATGACTATTACGGTAGCGAGCACTGTCACACACACACTTCGCGTTTAGCCAACTCAATATTGTTCACCAGATGCTGTATTTAGCCGGGGATTTTTGCGTACATCGACTGCGCTGTTGCTTCCCATCATGAATATCACATTTTCAGGTCCAGTGATAGTGTAGTCCTTGAGATAAATGTGTATAATTTTGTCAGTGACCTTGATTTTCCCTCCGTTTTTCTCTAATTTGGTGGGAATAGTTGCAGTGTCTTGTTATAAAGCTTCTCTGTGTGTTTGTGAAGTATCCGGCGTGCTCAATTGCACATACTCGAGATAATTAGTTTCTACCACAAATGGCAGCTACGTCATAAGCGCTGCATAAGTGCCCGTGTATCGGTATCGGCGCCGAAGATTGTGCTTAGCCAAGCAGACTGTCACACATGGTCACTGCCAGCTCATCGATTTCCTTCCCCCTCATCTCCTCTTCTGTCTCCACCCAGCAAGGGAGACCTGTCACCGCAATGCGAAGTGGCCGCCATTGGAAGCTGTAGAAGGAAGCAACAGCCTTGGTAGGCTTTCTCGTCTACATATCTTGCCTTGGCCTCACCGACCAACCGACCAGGCAGCCAGCGAACAACACTCTCCTTTGTGGCTTTGTGGACTCGCCAGGAGGCGACACTCTCTGATCCTGGTGCGCTATCCATGTACCCTCTTTCGAAGAAGTTATTGATTTATGCCGAGAGTCCTCTTGCAGTCGATTCGATGATGTCGTCGATCTGTCCTTGCGTCTCCTGCTCATTGGCGGTATCCTCGTTCATCTTTCAAAGGTATGTAAATTCCTTACATGAAAGTGATACCCTAATGACTCGTACTCTCTAGTATCACATCGTACTTCGCCGCCTCCTCTTTGGCGACATTCCTCGATAACAAACGACTTCGCAACGGTCCAGTCCTGTAGGAGATGAAGCGACATGCTGGTAACGGCGGGGGGATGAAACAACACTGGCTGGCTCGACTCATTTTCCTCAATGTCCTCCCTTTCCACTCTTCTCCCTACACGTCATTCCATCTCTGCTCCTTGCTCCTTTCCGACTACTTTCGTGCTCCCACCTGCTCTTCCAATCGGACAATATTACCCTCATTTCCAACTACTTTGTGCTCCTATCTCCCCTTCTCTTCCAATATCTCTGTTACTCGATCACTATGTTGCTTTGCCTGCTGTTAGACTAAGTCGTACACTTAATGTAGCTGTAAGGGCAACCTCGCGAGGCTCGAAATCAGAGTCCTGAGCAGAGGGGGAATCCTTAGTGAACTACTACAACAGGAAGGGACGCTACAGACTCACCTGAGCAGAGGGGGAATCCTTAGAGAACAAGCCAAGGAGCCCTCTGCCCAGGTGCACTACTATATACCAGTGACTGGAGTAATGATAGAGTGACTGCATAGCGACGGATGACGGATGGGAGAAGTCAGGCATCGCTAATGGACCCTAGGTGAGTGTCGAGTAGCCCTTGAAGCTCCGGAGAGGCAGGTTTGGGACCGTGATGCCAAGGGAGGGGCCCAGGCATCCCTAGAAGGCCTAAGAAGGGCTTCGGGAGGTCCAGGCTGCCTCTGGGCGTCTCCGCTTGTGACCGTGACCGTGACAACCGGAATCGGAATCGGAATCGGAATCGACTCCGGGTGTGTGACCGTGACGTGACGGCCGGAAACGGAGAGGGAAGGCGTGGAGCGGAAAGGGAAGGAGTCTGGTCTAGCCCAAGGGCCGGGGAGTGTCGAAGAGGACCAATGGGAATGGCGGCCAGCCATGACCACTGGAGGGTAGCGACAGGGGGTCACTCGGAGACGTCCCCGGACGTCTCCAGAGAGGTGGAGGTGTGAGGGCGTGCAGCCTGGGGCGCTGCAGTAGGCACGAGCCTTAACGGCAGTAGGCCTCACCCAGGGGAAGGCCCGATGACGGGGGCCGTGGTGGCGGAGTGGAGAGCGGAGCCATGGCAAGGCTCAGCCATCCGAACATAAGCCCGAACGCTGACATGGGTTGGGGACACCCAAGAGGTCCAGCAGGTAGAGATCGTAGGGAGACCTTGATAAGTGACAGCCCAGAGAGGCTAGAAGGCCATAGGCTCAAGGTCTCGGAGGGAAGTGGTGCGTCCACATCCGGAGAGGTCTCCGATGGCATTAGTGATCCCTGATGGTGACTCCGCCGGCGGAGAGACTCCCGGAAAGGGGTGGCCAGGGAAGTCGAAGACTGGGGATCACTGGATGTGGGATGTGGTGCGGGCAGTGGAGGGAGAGCGTCAGGGTGCGGAGACGCGGAGACACGAGCGGAGACGCGGAGACGCGAGCGGAGACGCGGCGCTTGATGGGATCAAGTGACGGCATCAGGGTTTCCCCTGACAGTAGCCTTAAGATGCGAAAGATTCTTCTTTTGTCCATACAGTACAGCGAACTAAGGTCTCCTCTCAAGCGTGGTCCCTCCATTCGTTGACCAGCTGCTCTGCCTCTTCCTGTGTTGGGAAGATGTGAATAAGACTCTTCATTTGGACGGGGGAGAAAGGTGCGAAGCTAGATACTGATAAGCAGGCGAATGTTATAGTGGCTACGACTCACCTCCCAGTGAAAATCCTGTTCTCTCCTTGCACCACGAAGAAGAGGCGCTTGACGCGGGTATATAACCCATCGGATTGTTGGTAATGGTCGCAGAATTGGGGCAGCAAAGGCAGATATGCCACAACCATATCCCAGCTAGCTGCAACGAATGTAGGATGTTGGATAGCTTTCCTGAACGATGCAACCATTAGAAGTGGAAGCTATGCAAACAAAGACTCACGTATCGGTGCTCAGCACAGCTTCCGAAGACAAGTACCACTGGCAAGGCTGGACTGAAAGGCTACTAACTGCCGAAATCGACCCATCTCCTTCGACATCACTGCTGACCAGGTCCGGGATTTCGTCATAGTCGATAACCACGACCTCGGCTGGATCTGGTGCAGGAGAGGGGTTGTTAGCTCTGGTCGAAGAATCATATGAACATCAACAGGATTGTCAGTAACAGAATGACGGTACAAGATCCGGAAATATACCGAAAATGAGTGTCTGGACCCAGCAGCTGAAGTGTGTGGTAGTCCACGTTTATATAAGATTCTCCCTTTTGGAGGTCGGCCATAGTGAGTGCTTGAGCTTGTCGGTCTGGTTGACGGTACAAATATACCGGGAAACCACAGTCTAGGCAAGATTAGGGATGGGTCGCCACATGTACAGACCCCACATGAGCCCCTTGATAAGAGAAGGCGATGCGCTCAGCGTAAACAGTTCTGCTGTAGGTCAAGACCGATTTTTAAAAAATGTGATGGCACATGATCTGCTTTTCCGACTGATCTACCGGAACTGGTGACAATGACCCACCTAAACTCTTCAATGTGCGTTGAGCTGTAGCTCTTTTTTAAAAAAGAAGCAGAAGAAGGTTGGCTGCAAGGAAAAGACAATAATTATACCGCCAGCTTGGTTTTGGTTTCATCCAGCTACCCATGCCGCCTCTTCATTTTCGCTCAAGCCAAACGGTTTTCGACGACAGCGACAGCGATGACAACAGCCATCGAGCGCCACAAGCACGGACTGTTCACCTTCGCCACGACGTCACCGTTGTTGCTGACGGTCAACTGCGGTCAAAACGCACACAATCAAACGAAAGGCTCTCCTCGCAAGCGTTCCGCCACTCATCAACAGGAGTCCTTTCTTCTGCCTACCATACCACTCGAGTCGGCCACCATCATGAGGATGTTAGAGGCCGGGGACGACCCGTGGGCAGAAGGAGGATTCCAGTTTGACGAAGGGCACCCTCAAGAAAAACTACCCTCACGTCCGTCTGTAGGTTTTGTTCATTATTAGCACTTCCCGCAGACTTACAGGTTTCGATAGGACCGACCTCTTACCCTTTGGCATGAGCGTGACCTCCCAACCTATCTGGACGAGTCATTGCGCTTGGAGGGTATTTCAGGCTCATCCTGCTATCTATGTCAATCGCCAAATGCCCCCTTCCGCTGTCGAGATTGCTTCATGGACTGTGTATTCTGCAAACAATGCCTACTACACTATCATCAAAACCTACCGCTCCATCGCCCCGAGGTACGCTTTTCTTCTTCTTCTTCTGATTGAGCTTTTGACTCATTGGCATAAGCTCTGGAACGGGTCGTTCTTTGAACTCAAACCCCTCAAACAGCTCGGCCTCCGCATCCAACTCGGCCACCCTCCAGGTCAAAAATGTCCCGGCACTCTCGCTCGTGGTACATTGGGAGGGCCTCCACAACACGACGATTTCTGTATTATCGACTGCAATGGCATACACGAAGTTGCTCTCGACATATGTACTTGTCCCTCAGCCCCCGAGCGAGCTACTCAATTGCTTCGTGCCCGCCTATTCCCGGCGACGTCTACTAGACCGCGGACTGCGGCGAGCTTTCAAGTGCTTCGCCTCTTCCATCTTGTCTCTTTTGAAGCGAAATGCTCGCCATTCGAATTCTACAATGCCTTGGCCCGGCTTACCAACAACAACGGCACTTTTCAGCCTCGAGTAAGTCTATGTCCTGCCGCAATTGCGTGAACGGCCATTTTCTGACACTATTCCAAGGATCGTTATCGCGAGTTTGTCACCATGACTCGTGAATGGCGCTTCATCCAGATGGTCAAGCGCGCCGGGCAGGGACACGAGACTGGCGGGTGTCGCAATATTCCCGCCGGCGCTTGCGCTCTCCTCTGTCCTGCTTGCCCACAGCCCGGGAAGAATTTGCCCGCCGACGGCAGCTGGAAGAATGGTCCTCCTCACGAAAGATTTCGCTACTCGCTGTTTCTTGCAATTGACGCGAACTTCAAAATGAAACGAAAACAAGTCTCGTCAGAAGGTGTCGATCCTGGCCTCAACCAAGGCTCGGCATTCTTTAGTGATGTCTCTACTTATATGGATCATGTCCGCAAACATTGGGGTCTCGAGCAAGAGGTAAGCTCTACGGTCTGCTTCTCTCAGTACAAGAACTGATCAATACTTAGAAGAGCACTTGCGTTTCGCACGATGCGGTCAACGAGCCCGACCGCGAATCGCGCGGGACAGCATCATCCGGAATCGGAACTGTTGATTGCGCCCGCCACAACATGAAGCGGCCAAACGCAGTCGGAGACCTTCAAAAAGGCGAACGGTCTGTTCTTTGATGTTCCACTTTTATTGAGCATACCTAATTGCTTGTACAGATACATCAATATGGATTACATGCTTTGGAAAAGCCTTAACCCCGCGCAATATAACGACTTGGTCGATATCATCGTCTCCTACGACATTGCATGTCAGTGGAGCAAAAATGTGTGGCTCCGCATTGCCAAGTACGACGACCCCTTACGCGACGCAGCCTTGCGAAATCCCACCCGTCGTTTCGTATTCCTCATCCCCAAATTCCATCTTCCGGCCCACATTGAGCGCTGCAACGTCGACTACTCATTTGATCTGACACCCAACGTTGGCCGTACGGATGGAGAAGCTCCGGAGCGTGGTTGGGCGAATGCAAATCCCCTTGCATCGAGCACGAGAGAGATGGGACCTGGAGCTCGCCGCGACACCATTGACGACCACTTCAATGATTGGAACCACAAGAAAATTCTTGGCATAGGGAAATCGCTCTTGGAGAAGATGAAGACGGCGATAACAGAGATGGTGGAAACGAGGATGGAGCTGGCGGAGTTAGAGGCGGTTCTGCCCATGGGTGTCGTTCAAAGCTGGCACGAGGCGATGGAAAAGTGGGAAGAAGACGCGACACAACCAAATCCATTCAGCGTTACGTCAAAAGTGGAGTCTGTACAGGACATACGCGCCAGATTGAAAGATCCCTCGCCGTCGGCATTTTATGAAGCCCCTCCAGCATTCAACACCCTCGACGACATCCATGACGACCTCCATGCCGCTGACCTGATCGCAATGGCGCTGACGCTGGAGGAGCAGCGCCACACATTAGCCAGCGATGCAGCCGAGCTTGGAATCCACGCAACGACCATCCAGAAGGCTTCCATTTCGGAACGCGAGGCCAAACTGCAACGGAAATTCGTTAGCTGGTTCGATATCCAGATCAATTTCGCACCTGAAGTCGCCGCTGTACGCGCAGGAGACGACAGCCGCCTCGCTAACTCAGGCGATGTCGAAACTACCCGGGGTTCAACGCTCTACGACATGCAACTACTCTTGCCCTCCTCCCTCATATCGCGTTCGGGTGTTCTTGTCCGGCCAAGCCACGCTTGGTACGAGTTCCAACTGAGGAAGGGCCGAGCTCTTCATCTTCTCGAGGAACTGCGACGGCTGCTGCTGGTTAGAACCCAAAAGTACAAGGCCAAAGACAAGCATGCCTCTGGGGTTGCCGGGCACACGCGAGCAGGAAAGGCGATCCAAGCTATCGATGGGAGGATCAGGCACATTGCCGAGGATTATAGAAGAACGCGCACCGCTTTGTTGAGCCTAACAGAAGTCGTGGGCAACACAACATGGAAAGCGGTCTTGAAGGACCTCAAGCAAGCCGATGTGCGAGCCATGCCTCGTGCTCTCTTTGCAGACCCTGACCATCGCAAGCGCAAGCGAGGGGACGATGACACGCCGAAGGAAATGTCGTGGATTTGGAGGATGGGCATTGGGAGTGTCCCCGTCGAGGTAGCGGTGGATTCGTTGAGTGCTGCAGCTGCGTCAAGCGCGGAGGCTGCCGTTGCGGCCACTAATGAAGGGCTCCGTGTTGAATGGGCAAAAACGCGCGCCCGAGCAAAGCGGTGGGCAGAGGAGGTAGAGTTGTTGCAGGAGGAGATGAGAAGGGTGCTCGTATTCTGCTCATGGAGGGCTGGGTGGTGGAAGGAGAGACGAAACCGTCGCGAAGGCCAAGGCTTGGATAGTGCGATCACATCGGGTCTTCGGGCCTACGCTGATCGTCAGGCACACATTCAAGTGGCCTTGCGCACTCAATTTGAAGGCAATTGGCGGGACATCCCCACCTTTCTCGAGCTTGGCCTGAAGCAGGTGAAGCAAATCCATATCGATGCGCAGAGCCAATTGGAGGGGATGCTCTCGATGACTGTTGATGATGACGCGGCGTTCCAGGCTGTTCCAGAACGTCCGGACCAAAATTGATTTCCGATGTCATGTAATTACGCATATGTAATGACTCTTTCTTCCCTGTGACCGATGAAAGGCAGCGACTTGTGCCATCCGCCACGCAAGCAAGCGGCAATGGCTGACGTAGCCATGCCGGAACCACTCACAGCAGTGGGCGCAGCGGACAATTGCAATCGCTAGGAATGCGTCAGCAGCAACCGGGGAGCGGGTATTCAAGGGCCGGAGCGCCGCATAGGTGACTGAGCGGCCAAGCACAGCGGGCGGCGGCGAGGGTGACGTCAGCCAGCAGCGGGTAATTTCAGAGCGCGGGGAGCGGCCGCTGGGATCGCGGGCAGTCACGGGATCGCAGGGAGAGCTGGCGGCGGCGGCGGCGGCGAAGGTGACGTCAGCAGCTTCAAGGGCAGGGGTGCCCGCATGGGTGAGTGAGCGGCCAAGCACAGCGGGCGGGCGGCGAAAATGACGTCAGCCAGCAGCGGTCGCTGGGATCGCGGGCAGTCACGGGATCGCAGGGAGAGCTGGGGGCGGCGGCGGCGGGCGGGGAGCGGGTATTCAAGGGCCGGAGTCGGGTATTCAAGGGCCGGAGTTGGGTAACCGGGCAGCCACGTGGTCGGTATCTGGACCCTGGTCCGCCAACTTGATCCTGGTGATCGCAACAACAGGCCTAGTGATGCTTCGTCTCCACACTGCCTCTGACGATGAGCAGCGTTGCTGGCCAACGCCGCTGTCGATGCTGGCCCCAGGTACTGAGTGCAGGTAGGCTGCCAGGCTTTTTTAAAAAGGGTGGGTGACAAACTACTGCGTTTTTTTAAAAGAGTTCGCGATGGCAGTGTGACGGGTTTTTTAAAAAGACCCCCTGCATCGAGTGTGGTCTCTCTCCCATGGCAACGGCAAGAGCCTTCCCTCGACTAGCTCCTGTAATGTGGCGCCATTCAGATCCAATGGGAGGTCCATTTGGCGACTGCCATGACTCTGTGCTTACGCTCTTTCCCAGAAATGACGACGACTTGGGGGTTGCAAAGCTGTTTTAGAGGATGGTGCATCGCTCGGTGAGCAGGCGCGGCCGTGCTCGTCCTGCGCAGACGGCAACATTGAAGGCAGAAGAGGGTCAGGCCCGGTCGGCCAGGGAGTGTGGTGCTGCTATTGGAGACGCCCTGCACCCGTGTGACCGCACTGTTGACTTCTGTTTCTACTGTTGTGTATACCATACTTCTAGCTAACAATATTCATGAAAATCCCAAAAATCTAACATGAACAAGGACTTCGCCGCTCACCCCAACGCAGCTGTGAATATCGGCGACGTGGCAAGTCCGCAGCGCTGAGCAATGGCACCACAAATGAAGGATACTTGTTACTGATACTGGCAGCCTATATGGATGTGTTTGCGGCGCTGTTCGAAGGCCCCACTGGCATAGTGATGTAGACAGGGGTACATTACCCTTGTTCAACTGTGATGCTTTACTTGCCCTATGCACAAAGTGCAATGACCATAATGCAGCCTCATGAACCCCATCTAGCCCCCTGTGACACTATCCATATAAAATTTGGAGTTATATGGCAACATTGAACAATCCCTCAAAAATATATGATGACTTAGAATGGCAACTAAGAAAGAACAACTTGAAATTTTGCACTGAGGCTTTCAGTAGTGCATACAGTACACCAAAGGCTATCATCCCACACTAAAACCTCAAATGATAAAAATTGAGTACATCGCCGCGCACCCTTGGGCGGCGGCGCTGGACGCGCGATGACAGCGCTGGAGCGTGCTACAGACTGTGGGAGAGATTCAGCTCTTGGTCGGGGTCCCTATCATGCATATCCATACTTGTCGCGGCATCTCCAACGCGGTTAGACGCAACGGCTTCGACAAGGGTGCGCGGCGAAGTACATGATGATGTCAGATCAAGTACTTCGAAGTTCGCCGCGCACCCACCGCTGTGACTGGCGCGGCAGCGTGACAGCGGTGCGCGGCGATGACGCGGCGGTGCGCGGTAGGTGCGCGGCGGTGCGCGGCGAAATATATGAGCCCGAGGTCGTGGTAATGGTCGCCGAGGGTTCGTCAGCGCAGCAGACCAAGGAATGAAGTTCCTTCAGACTTACGACGACGAGGGGAATCCGATTCCCCTTCCTCTGGATACTTTACTTCCGGTCGGCCGACAATCTGTCATCTTGTCAAAAGAAGGCGCTGATCCAAAACCAAAATCACCTCGACGAAATCCACTGCACAATCCCGATGGTCCAAGTGACTTGGTGGTGATTCCATTGCCCAAAGGCTTCGTCCCTAGTGGAGCCCAGGCTTTCGCAAACGCCAATGGCAAACGACCGCTGTTAGACGCCGCCCCAGCACCTCGCGCCAAGCGATCCTGTGGAGCGCCAAGCCGGGAACCCATGCTTGTCTCCGATGTTGCCCGAACTAGCCGAACTCCCGCCGATGTTGCTCGTGAAAATGAGGATCGAGAACTTGTGCGCCAATTGACACGAGGAAAGAAAGCGGGCCCTTCTAAATCCTAGTTTTAACTTCACTATTGGTGTATCTACAGTACTGCTGATATTTCTTTACTGCAATGAAGGTCTTCCTTGTGCCTCGACTGGATCTGATGGCCCCCTGGTCTGGAATTACTTGGCGGCCTAGACGTGATCGCCCGTGGTCTGGAACGATGGGAAAGCTGGTGCCTGGGAGATGACCAAGGCGAAAGGCAGGATACCTTGGCGGAAGACGTGCAAAGCAGGAGCAAGCAGGAAGGAAGGCGGCGGCGGCGGCGGCGGGGGGGGGACCACGCCACCGTGAGCCAGAAGGCGGTGACCGGACCGGGACCGGGACTGCGCCACTGTGAGCCGGCGCCAAGGAAGGCGGTGACCGGGACCGGGACCCGGCTACCGTGAGCCGGCGCCAAGGAAGGCGGTGACCGACCGGGACCCGGCTACCGTGAGCCGGCCAAGGAAGGCGGGTGGGTGTAAGCGTCAGGTGTAGGCAGAAGGGGATGGGGGGAGCACTGCAAGGCCAGGGCGGGAAGGCGGGCGGGTGGATGCGCAATGGGCGGGAACGGGCGGGAAGGCGGTGGGCAGGCGGGCGGGACCGGGAAAGGCGGCGGGCAGGACCGACCGGGAAGGCGATGGGCAGGCGGGCGGGACCGGGAAAGGCGGTGGGGCGGGGCGGGCAGGACCGACCGAGCGGAGCTCCGGGAGCTCCGAGCGGTACATATGGGCGGGGGAATTCATTGATGGCATCGAGTGATCTGACCACCGTCAACAGTGATGCGCCAGGCGGGATGCGCCAGGCGGGATGCGCCAGGCGGGATGCGCCAGGCGGGATGCGCAGGCGCCTGACCGTCCCGGCAGCCAGGCGAGGTCATGCGCTGGGGGCCAAGTCGTAGTTGCTTGGACTTTTTAAAAACTGTCAATGTTTGATTAGAACCCCACTTTTTAAACAAAACTACGTCTACGCCTGCTTTCACGCGCGGCACCGAACTTGGTGTCTCTCGCCGTGGAAGTGCGGGATTGGCCATCTGACGCGGTGCTGGACGGGTCCTCGGACGATATCAGGACGAGAGAGGTGCGTGTTCCAGCGTAACTTCTTTCCCTCCTCCATTTCTACGACGCCACGTGCTGCAGGCGTTCGTGGAGTCGGTGGCCTCTGCGCTCCCGACGATGGGACATCTGTTCCATCTTGATATTGACCACGCACTCCACACGGCGGTTGATGTCGGTTCATCCCGTGCCGGAGACAGCACTGTGCGGCTCCAGCAGCACATGCAGCAACTGGACTCCGAAGCGGCATGGGTCCACCGCTGGGGCGCTGCATCTCCCGTTCTCGGTGTCTGCACGCTTCCCGCTGCGCGCTGGTGGCGATTAGCAGACAACACATGGACTCCGATAACGATGTTCACAGACCCCGGAACGGCAGGCTATGTCTTCTCCTGGACGCGGGCCCGCCGGACAGCAGCGGAGTCGGTTCGGAGTGTGGCTGCTGGTATCCGTCGCTGGGAGGAGATCCGAGTGGGGACGTCAGACTTCGCTCGCCGATTGAACGAGCTTCAGGCGTTGCAAGCGGCGAATGGACAGGAGTTTGACGTTCGATTTATTGTCTAGTTTTCGATATCATGTATGTACCATGAGATACATGCATATTTTGAGTGGAGCGGGTAGAGCAGCCGAGTCTTGTTATGGTGTCGTCACGACTGTGTGAGCTCTGCTTACCACGACCACGACGTCCCCAACCTGGACGAATTTAAACGGGGAGGGCCACGATGCGCCTGTTTGCAGCCGTTCGTGCTGCCGTTGGCCTGGCGCTCGGCAGCGACACAGGCGGTGGCGACGGGGACCCGGGCGGCGACGCCAGCGTTGGCAGAGCTCCAGACAGCGAGCTCCTGTGTTGTGTCGGAGGGAAACGGGAACGCACGTCGCTGAGCTCGGCGGAGATGTACGCAACGGGGGGCGGCGAAGCCCCGGAGCGCGAAGAGTATCGTGTAGATGAATGACTGATGTGGTCGAGCGGCAAATTAGACGTTGAAAGTCCCGCCACACAGGAGAGGAGACGCACCGTTCGTCGCCATTATTCCGCTTCCACCAGCATTCCCCACCTCCGCAGCCCCCCTCGCCTTGCCGCACCCCATGTCAAAACCACAGCGCTCCGCGCGCTAGTCCACCGCGCCTTACGCTGGATAAGTGGTTGTCGTTGAATGTCAGCGTCGGCAGCCCAGTAGCGCGTCGCGGGCAGCAACAGGTATCCCGCTAGCAAAGGCGAGGGTATATTAATGTGCCAAGACGAAACGCGAGGGAGCGCACGCACCTTCCCAACCATAACTCGAGTCCCCGCAGCCTGTCCCACCCCAGTTCGGCCCGCGCAGAATTACGCAACGCAACAACCCCATGCGCCAATGAAACTCCTTTGCCTCAAGCTTGAGGTCATCGACGAAAAGCCCATCAGCGCAGGCAATGGGTGACTGTGGGTGACTGGGTGCGAGGGGCAAGCCCTCATCCGCCCGCCGTCCTGTCATCCTGCATTTGTTTTTCGACGGTCGGCGTCGGCTTTGACAAGGAGAGTAGCGCGCTGTGGGCAGCAAAGAGTATCCCGCCACTGGAGAAGAGGTATATTAGTATGCTGCACTGGGAAACGCACCTGCACCCTTGCCGCAGCCTAATCCGTGCCGTCTCCACAGCTAGCGCCGGCGAAACACCTCCAGCAGCCATCGCTAATGGCCCATGGCACAAACACCAGGCGTCCTTGTCCGTCGCTGGGCCCTGTCGCAGTCCTCGTTGCGGGGCATGAAGTGCGAAGGAGGAAAAGAAGCGAAGAGATCCGCGTGATTGAGGTGGCGCGCACGGACCACGCCGGCCGCACGTGCCACGTCATCCGCTTCTTTCCTCCCGACTTCCATGTGGCAATGGGTTTGGCGTGCCCTGCCGCATGCGTTCGACGCGCGCGTGCAGGCGGTGTACGAGATGGCTGAAGAGCTCCTCTAGGTCGATGTAGAGCACGAGCTGGCGACAATAGGCTACAGGGCGGGAGGCATGGGCACTTGCGAGTGCAGACGCGCCGGAAGTTCTTGATTAAACTGGTGCGTGGTGCCCATGCTTTGCTTATTCGCGCGTGCTAAATCTGTGGTTACCTAGCGCCATGCCGGCGCGGATATCTCCCCCTTCCACCTAATGCTATTCGCGGCTTGTAAGAAGGAGGGAAGACGAATGATAAGACGGTAGACGCACGCTGGTCGACGCAGCACGCTCGCGTACATCCTAGGCACAAAGAAGAACGGGCTGATGAGCCCAAACATGCGCGGGGCATGAGCTAGTTACCTTCCCTGTCTTTGCCAAAAATGCACTATGTAGCGCACCTCCCTTGTAGATGGTCCGACTCAGCTGTCGTCGTTGGTCAGCGCAGAGGAAAAGCAATAGCAAGACGGCAGACGCACAACTCATCATGCCTCTCTGATACGTGCCAGAAGAATCAACGCCACATGCTCGTTGTCGTTGACTTTCTCGCATAGCTGGAGCCTGCAGCCAATCTGAGAGAGAGCAAGCCGCGTGTGTAAGTACAAATTTCTGGACAGAAATTGTAGCGGACGCACCTTGCGCCCGCGGCCCTGAAGCCCCGCCCCCATCGTCCAAATTCCCTTCCATCTCGTCTTTTCGCGAGTCAGGCAGCGGAAGTCGTGAAATCTTCTACCCCGATAGCAACGATGACGTTTATAGTCGGACCTGGATGCAAATGGCGGACGTATGAGCCGCGGCTCGTTAAGAAGCCAGTATACAGACGTCGGGGGCAGTTTCCAGACACTTGCGCCACGGGCAGATGGGAGTCGGGAAGGAAGAAGCGATTGACGTGGCACGTGCAACACGGCATGGTCCGTGCGCGCCACGTCAATCACGGGCAGATCCCGTCCCTCTCCCTTCCTTTTGCCCCCTTCTCCCTCTGGCGATCCTCTCTGGTCGTTGTCTGCAATCCTCCGCATGTGCGTCCCCGTCACTGTTGTGGACTATTCTTTTACGACTGACTGCTCCGAGCGCTAGCATCTGACTTGTACTTCTTCTCTACGTGTAACGCCTACCCGTGCGCCGCTACTTACCCGCTCCATATTCTTCTCCTGCTGGAAGGGGTTGACTGAGATCGCCGCGGTCGGACATGCCTTGACGACGAGGGTAACGAACGCGGCTGTAGGCTGTGGAATGCATCCAAACGTGTGCGCTACGATCTTTTGTACCATGCTGCCGCTGATGTTTTGCTATTAGTTCGCGTTGCTGCTGCCAGCCCGAGTGTCATAGCATGGCCTGCCAAATAATCGGCTGCGGCATCCCTCGTTCGATGTACTTGGTTGGCTGGGTCGAACTCCCAGTGAGTGAGATGGAAGCTCGTCAACGAGGGAAACAGCTGCGACTGAGATATAGGCCTCCAAACAGGTGCGCTACAATCTTCTGTTCCGTGCTGCCGCTGATGTTTCGCCACTAGTCCGGCCAGTCGACTCGGAGCTACATGCTCTGCTCAGCCGTTCTTAGGCGCGGCGCACGGCGAGACATAAGGAGAGAGGGTTGCCGATTCCAAGCGCGCAGCCACAATCGTCTTTCTTCACTCTTACTGACCTTGGATAGTGGTTGTTAAACAATGTGCGATGGAACAACAGCAGGAGGATGGGGGCTACCACTCTGTATTTGGCAGCGTTGAATGCATAATTTTCTAGAAACCCCTCGCCGCCAGATAGCTCAACGCGACCTACCCGATTGGTTGCCACCTTGATTTGCCATTGTCGTCACAGTGGCGTGACACTTCTCTCCTTTCTTCTCAACCACCATGGGCCAAAACTGGAAGCTGAAAAACTTTTCGAAACACTGTGATGCCTATACAGATCCACTCAAGCTGGGGGAGATCCTCTTCTGGGGGCATCCCGGGGGCAAGCTGCTCTCTTACTTGCGCAAGGTCCATTTGCCACCGCTCGACGTCTGTGTTGGGCCATACACTCCTGGGCAATATGTGAAGGTTGGCACCACACGTCGGAGGCTGCCAAAACGCAACGCGCGGTGTGTGGCACGCACTCTTAGCCATATATTACTCACTTCCAAGACAGGGAAACGGCCACGGGAATTGTCGCACTCCCGCTGGAGCTTCTCGACCTGATCTTCGGCTTCGTCGACGATCTCATTGACGCGCTCGTGCTCGGCATGACGTGCCAACTTCTGTGGGACGTCGGCCGCCGCCAAGTATATGCGCTACTCTGTGCCGACGAAGGCTTGCTGATGTGCTCATGGGCGGGCGACCGTCTGGCTGTCGTCGGGGAGTACACCGAGCTCAACGAACTGCCCGAATACTTCTTCCCCAATGGCCTGGCTAAATACGAAGAGGGTGCACTGGATGTCCAATACTGTATGGACTTTTGGGATTTGCTCAACATCGAGTCCCGCGTGCGACTCCCCCTCCTCGACCGTGTTGGCTTCCGCGGCGATGCACTCTGGTTGTTTCACCATGGGCCGGGGATGCTCACCAATGTCGCGGTGCAATTTGATCCTCCATTCCAACCGCGTACTGCCGTCCTCCGAAATCTCACAACATGTCAATACGTGCGCCAGGCAGCGCTCGAGGAGATGCAGGCCCGCTACCGCGAGTCCGAAGAGCTACGCGCCCCGTTCTACACAAAGGCATCGGTGCTATTGTGGGAGACCCACCTCGGAGACCTGCTCTATTGCCAGATCTGCTGGTCGCTTGACCCCTCGGTAAGCATGCGGTATGAGAAGATTCATCAAGGTCCTTGGGCGGGGCATCGTTTTGACATAGTGGGGGCGGAATGGCTTGAGCAAACGGAGAAGGAGGGCTGGGTCGATGCGAGTGAGGAGACAGTGGACGAATTGGAAGCAATCTGGCGGTCGGAATACGCCTACGTCGGCGAAGATTGATTGAAGGCATATATCAACAATGGCCGTTCATACTGTTGGTTCCTCTCTAGCTTGCATACTCCGACTGGAGTGCTCTCAATATAATGTCCCTTGAATAGAAAAACAAAAATGAGATTCCTAATACTATTAATATCTCAAATCCTTCGCGTTTGCCAGTGTTCTCATTCCTGCTCCCCGTATCTCGCCGAACACTTGATCCTTCGCAAGCTTCCGCGCGACGTCCCGCGCCCTACAACGTGAAATCGGGCTTACGCTCACGCGCCGCGGCCGTCCGATATCGAACGTCCCAACGCCGTGAATCTCGTCAGTTTTCCCCGGCTCATGACTCGAGCCGCGTCGTGCCCTCTTCGCTGCTCGTTTGCCTTCGGGCGGAGGCCGAGCCAATGTGGTTTGTGAGAGAATGACACAGGCATTCATCAGGTGTGGTGAATGGAAGGCAAACATGGGCGGGCTCCGGACAGGCTAGGATCCATCCCTGTTCAACTGGCGCGCTCTTTCGAGGTGACACGGAGGAGCGACAGGTACCAAACGCGGGTGAACGCCCCACAGGACGACCAACTGGATGCAACGGACTGGCAGCGGGGGACGAGTGCGTGAGAGAGCCAGACAACGCGGCGCAGAATGAAGGGCGGTTACACGTGTGCCATTGTACGTGTCGTTGGACATAAGACGTGTGCCGACCCTTTCACCATCTTGCGCCTGGTTCTTGGGTACATCTCATAGCGTAATCTGCGAGTAACGATAAAGAGATAAGCTGCGGTGAAATAGGCTTTGAGCGCGGCCCACCTCGAGCTACCACAACCCTCTCCTACCCAATCTTCACCACCATACCATCTCATTCTCGCCGAATTGCTCGCAAGGAGCAGCAACGCCGGCGCCATTTGCGTTTCGCAAGCCCCATCCCGCGCGTGCTCGTCTCCGGAGGCGAGCGCAGCTGCCGCGCGGACACCTTCTCTGTTCCGCTCCACGACGCGTTGGCGCCTGGATCCGCTGGATCCGCCTGGGGGTTTTGTGGGGAAGTACAGCCAGAGGAATCTGTCGTCCTTGGTAAGGCCAATTTTAAGATGTATAGTGGCGAATTAGACGCACCTCTCTCCCTTCTCCGGATAGCCTTCTCGTCGGCACCAGAATCCACACTCATCGCCCTCGGCTGTTACCATAGTAAGAAGGCTAAAACTGCTGAGAAATCGCAGACACACCATTCCGCAAACATGTCATCGTTCCTCATTGCCCTCTGCACTTTCCATCCTGCCAGCGCGTCGCGTCTTCAGATTCCAGGCGGAGTAAGTACTGGCGGCGTCATGCCCGAGACAGCAGCCTTAGTCGAATACCTCCGATCTCGGGGACGCCGTGTCGTCCCAGCACGCGGCGCCGCACTTGGAGAAGGGTCGTGGGCCGGGAAGAAGATGGAAGTCAAGACCAAGACGTGATTGACGTGGCACGTGCAACACGGCATGGTCCGTGCGCGCCACGTCAATCACGGGCAAATCTCCGTCCTCTTCTTGCCCGCACCCACTCTGCCCCCACTCCCGGTCTACTGGCCAGTCCCTTCAAGTCTACATGTGTGCGCCCGCCCCATTGCCAGCGCTGCCGTCCCTAATCATGGATGCAAGCCGCCATCTTTTTTTGCTCGGACGGAAGGGACTGGAAGCGGGAAGGCCGACGGGCCCATTCGGGACGAGTTGCGTGGAGGACAGATGCGCCAAACTAGGTGCGTTACTACGACCTCTATTTCGCACTTGCTGACGCCCACCGGCTTTGCCGTTTTCGCTCAAGGACCGCCGTCGGTGCGGAAAACACCAAGGCTAGCGTCCAATGAGGCAGATAGTAGGCGACGACAATAGCACACGCTGGCTTCAGTAGCTCCGCAATATACCCACTCCATAGCGCTCTTGGAAAACAATGTCCACAGCCAGCGCGCGTGGAAGGCTCCATTTCCAGGCAGCTCGTCGGCGACATCCTGGCCCCACTGGCAGTGCCTCCCAGGCAACGCTCGATGCTCTCCTCCCTCTTCAGTCTCTGTGTCGACCGTCAATTCGAGCCTGTATGCCGCTGCGTCCCGCGCCCCCTTTACGCCTTTCTGAAGGCTCGTGTCGCATCCCCCTGCTAGACTTTGTCACTGTAACTGCCCCAGGGCGATTCCCGGACGCCCAACGACTCAGACTGTGGGCAGACTCTCCGGCGGCCACAAAGTCAAGCACCCGTGCGCAGGTCGGGCAGACTGCATAACAAAGGGTATGGCGCTGACTCGGCGCACTGTCCCGTGTGTATTGGACAATTGTACTCTAGATACCGCGGAGAATGATATGCATGAGCGAGCCGGATGGCGGTCTGATGCGGATTGTGCTGCTCCCGTCTTAGCGTGTCAGATTATCGGCTTGGCCACTTTGCCTCTCCCCAACTTATAGGCGCACCAGACTCTAGGGCAACGGCAATGAGTGCGCAGCAGCCATTTCACATAGTCATCTTCTAGATCCCATACGTTGTCGGGGGGGTACGCGAATCGGCCGCAGCACTGCCGCAGCAGCCGCTGTAGCGGCACTTTGCACAGCCACGGTGAGCGGCAACTCAAGTAGGCTGTTGATATACATTGAATCCTTATACTTCGCTACATTTTGAATAAAATGATTCAATCTACACTTGTATGAACAGCTAGAATAGAGTACACTTGTGTTTAAACCTTAGAAAAATGCCTCATCAAACTTGGTACAAACAATAGTAAACAGCCGCAGACGGCTCTGACGCGGCCGCAGCGGCACTTTGCAGCGGCAGATGCTGACTGCCGCATCCCACTGCCGCTGCTGACATCGGACCTTCAGCGGCAGTGCAGCGGTCGTGCAGCGGCAGTGCAGCGGTCATGAGGCGGTCGTGCTGCGGCATCAGTAAAAGTGCTCAAAAGTCTTTTAGATCTTTCTGGTCTTGCCCCAAGACCAGAAAGATCTAAAAGATTTGAAAGACCCAAAAGACCATAGGTCTTATTCCAGCAGCGTCCTGGTCTTGAAAAAGACCAAGTGTCTTCTACAAGACCTACTCATCTTTCCCAAAGACAGTGTTAAGATACTCAAAGACCAAGTTTAAGACCCAAAAAGCTTTTCTTATATAATTATAAAGACTTCCCAAAATAGTAATATATTTCCAAATGCGTATATTTTACTACACATCCTCATCCTCGCTGACAATGAACTCAGGAATAGAGATACGCTCGCCTTCTGACTCAGCTGCACTCGAAGCCGAGCTAGCACAACCACGCCGCCTCCGAGGCTCCTCCTTCCATTCAGCTGCATCCTTGATCAAGGTTGCCCACGCCTCGTCAGACCAGTCCCGGATCGTAGGAAGGAATTTTGAAGCTCGGTTGGCATGCTCGGTGTTCGGGATATCACCCCAGTTGTCGTATGAGAAGGCTTCTGGCTTGTCGGGGGTAACAAACTCGCCGGTAGACCAGGCCCGGAGGACACACTCGACATGTCGGTATCATCAGTTTTGGCTCCTAAGAAAGCGGGACTTACAGCTTGTACCGAAAGGAGCATGGCCCCATAAGGACGTTTTGTTGACCGCGCATATTGGCTCGGAATGGCGTCTAGGGTGGTAAGATGGTAAGAGAATGTCGACATAATGAGGCTGGAGCGGAGGAAGCCCTGGAATGCCATGAGAGAAAGTTAATAGAAAGGATAAACTCACCGATTTCCGAATGCCATCCTCGGTTTCTTGATACTTGTTCCAGTGAAATCGTTTTGTGCGCTGCTTCGTGTCCGCATCTGAGAGCCATAGCTTGACAAAGCCTGCCATACCCTCCTTGGTCGACAAGTCGAATTCTAATTCGGGGTCTTCGATGAAGTTGCCCTCGTCCTCGTCACCCTCAAATGGGGGTTCGCCTGCGATCGAAGTGAGTTACTGCATGCAAGAATAGGTGCCATACCATTTGCTTGACGCAAATCTCTTGCAGCCCTTGCAGCGCGAATTTCCGCGTTAGATTCCTTGATGCTCGTATTTATGCCAACGAGATAGTCGATGATGCTCAAAACCGCCTTCTTGGCTTGGTCCATAAAGCCACGGCGCCAGTCGCTCGCCCTATATCCCATCTCGACTCCAATGTCAGCATTTGGCCGAAAATAACTGAAGAAACACATACCAAGCCATACCAAACCTCGCCTTGGACAGCCTTATGAACCCCGCGACCAAAGACGGCATCAAGAGCATGCTGCACGTCTGAGAGGGACAGGTTATCCCAGGGATGAAGCTCCCCCAATCGCTCCTTGATGAGCGGCACGAGCTCGTTCTTGATTGCGCGCTCATCAGCATGGGTGTCAGCATTAACCCACTTCTTCGTTCCCCCGCGACGAGCTTCCTGAGTTATTCGCGCGGCCTACTCATAGCGTACATGAGTGGACAATGACGGCGATGATCACGTACAATGACACGCGGCACGCCTCTCTTTACAACGCCGCCAGCAGGCTGCTCGACGACCTCATTTTCGTCGTCGTCTAGCGCGGGGCCGCCCGGACGACTACCCGGCTCGGGGACAGCAAGCGCGGGGACCTTTTTCGGTGCAGTAGCAAGCCCACTGAGCTTTGCTTTGGTCTTCTTGCGGGGTTGCTCGCTGTATGGTATTCAGGTGCGTAATTGGGCGACGACAGAGGTAATGCGACTCACTCTGCAGTACTAGCTTTGCGCTTTGCGCTGCCAGCAACGATGGGTGTGCCGCTTGCGTCCGAAACGCGACGCGCTGTGTTGACGTCCGTGCGGCGGGCCTTGGAGAGTTTTTTCTTGGGTTTGCGCGCAGGTAAGTCGCGAGGCAGCTCTTCCTCGGATTCCGGCTGACTCTCCTCTGTGTAGACATCCTCTTCGTCGCTGGGTAGTCCGTCTGACAGCATATCGACATCTACGCTGAAGTCAGGCAGTGCTCCGTAAAAACAGCATTCGCACCTTGATTCTCAACCAGAAACTCCGTCGTTTCAATCGCAGGAGACGGAGGAATAGATTCGACAGAAGAAGTGGTCGTCTTGGGTTTTCGTGGAGCGGTCTTTGGACCGGCAGGGTTTCTCGCAGCAGTACGGCGGGCCTTCATATCGGTAAGTGGTCTGGTTCCATATATCATGCTGCTTACTGTGTCTTCTAGCCGGATGCTGTCCTCCAAGGCTGCAACCCGGTCGACGTTGGCCTGTTGCTCTCGCTCCTTTGCCTCTTGCTGCGCGTCGGCGGCGGCCTCCGCCGCATCGATCTCCTCCCTTGTACGACGAGGGGTCGGATTTTCGCGAACGAGCCCGGCCTTGATAGCTGGGCGGGTTTCCTGGTTGGTTGTGCGCGTGCCATAGCGCCGTCCAGGCGGTGGGACGTTCAGCATGGAGGAGAGGAAGAAAGTGGCGGCAAAAGGGCGAAGGGATGAGCATTCTAACAAGTCTGCAGGGGCCCATCAGCATGGTGCTGGCGATCATCCGCAGTCGTGCGCAGGCTCACCCGTTTGCTCGCTCGTTCAGCCATGAAGCGTTCATTGTGCCGTGTCCTGTGTCTTCACAGTGAGCGCTACTATGAACGCTTAACGTTGTTGACGGCGCGGCGGCGGCAGCTGGCTAGACATCGACCTCCGAATGACGCATTCTGCTTGCGGTGATTGGAGGCCGTGGCTCAAGCTTGGCGAGTGCACAGCTCATCCGTGAAGTTACGGAGACCGGGCATTCGGGGCGACTATCCCCGGATTGACTTGGACGAAATTGTCTCTTCGCTCACTCAGCACCGTCATCTCCTCCGATGCTTCGGTGCCCTTACTGGCAGCAAGGCTGCAAGCAGCTCTTCAAAAAATCATCTGGGCGAACCAACCATGTTAACGCAATCCATCTGGGTGTCCGCAAGCCTCGATCGCCTTCTCCACCTACGCCTCTACGCTTTGGCTCCGAGCTACCAGAAGCAGGAGTGCCATTCGAATCGCTAGACGACGCCCAGCTCAACGCGAATGCCGATGCGAGTCACAAGCCTGGTGTACGCGTCGATTATCATCCTCATCTCAATGGTATGTGAATCATATTCCCCCCCCTTCATTTCCCTGCCGTCGTTGACTCGATGTCTGCAGGACGTCCATGCGATAAGGAGGGGAACTTCGTTGATCCCACCACCAAGCCGCACAAACAGTTCCCTCCGAGGAATAACACATCGCCGTATGAGACAGTCGGCGCATTTCGAATGGCGGACTTCGTCTATCGCAAGGTCCAAATGTCCGCAGGCGAGATTGACGAGCTCATGGAGATTTCTCGCGAGGATGGGGGATTCTCGCATTTCCGTGACCACGATGATTTGTACGACACAATCGACGCGACAGAGACCGGCCACATTCCGTGGCTCGCCTTCGACGTCTCTTACGATGGACCTGATGCAAACGAACCCGGCGCGCCATCATGGAAGCGAAAGTCATATCGAGTTTACCACCATGATGCCCGCAAGATTATGCATCGTCAACTGGGGAATCCCGACTTCAAAAACGAGTTAGACTACGCGCCGAAACAGGTCTACGATGCGGATGGAGGGCGGGTATATCAAGACTTTATGTCGGGGCAGTGGGCATGGCGGCAGGCGGTTCGTTGGTCCTTATCTTCCTATCTTGCTCTTCTGATTCTTTGCGTTTAGGACGAATTGGCCAAAGATCCTCAAAACCATGGCGCTGTGATCGTACCCGTCATTGGGGGGAGTGACAAGACAACGACCTCGGTCGCAACGGGCCAGAACGACTTCTATCCGCTCTATGAGGGTAATGGCCTGACCCCGAACACAGTGAGACGAGCCCATCGGAATGCGATGTCGCTTCTGGGATTCTTGGCTATTCCGAAAAGTAAGACTGACTTCATAACTCGTCTTCTCAGTTCTCATCGTCTGGCAGCCGACCGCGAGCATGACCAGAGCAAAGAGTTTCGGACGTTCCGACGGCAGTTGTTTCATGCGTCGCTGAACCATATATTCAGCTCGCTAAAGCCAGCTATGATATCGCCCGAACTCGTGCTCTTCGGTGATGGTCACTATCGATGGGTTATTTACTGTCTTGGTCCGTATATTGCAGACTATCCTGAGCAAGTTTTGCTGGCGTGTGTTGTCCAGGGGTGGTGTGCTCGGTGTGTCTCGCAGTTTACAGCCAATCTAGATACCAAGATATTTGCAGATGTACCGCGTCAAATAAGAATCTTGACGGTATTGGTGGAAGACGAACACAGGCACATACGGAAGCGCTTTTCGACGCTTTTGACCACAAAACACTTTGGAATGACTACGGAATCATTCCGGATGTGCTGGTATGCCCTCTCCCTTCCCATTCATTTACTCGCTTATGATTAGCCATATACGTGGGACTTTCCACGTGCAGACATCTATGAACTGCTCTCACCGGACCTTCTTCACCAAGTCATCAAGGGGACATTTAAGGACCATCTCGTGACATGGGTCGGCGAATATCTGGATGCTCAACATGGCAAAGCATATGCAAGTAAAATTATGGCTGATATTGACCGGCGGTCTGTGTTCTTTTTGCAGAATTTATTTTTGAAATTAAGTAAATAAAATTATAGAATCGCAGCAGTGCCACCATTCCCTGGACTTCGTCGTTTTCCCGAGGGACGGGGATTCAAGCAGTGGACTGGAGATGACTCAAAGGCTCTAATGAAGGTAATTTGCAGTATTGATCCAGCTTAGTTACTGAATGAGATTAGGTCTACCTGCCTGCTGTCGAGGGGTATGTCCCTGCGCAGATGCTTCGAGCGCTGAGCGCGTTCCTTGACTTTTGCTATCTTGTCCGTCGCAACACTATTACCACAAAAACGCTCGCCGAAATCGAGGCAGCCCTGGCCCGGTATCATCAGGAGCGCACTATTTTCGAGGAAAGTGGTGTTTGTCCCAATGGATTCTCACTTCCACGCCAGCACTCGCTTAGTCACTATCCCTATTTGATCACCGAGTTTGCGGCCCCAAATGGACTGTGCTCTTCAATTACGGAGTCGAAACATATCAAGGCAGTCAAGGAGCCCTGGCGCCGGTCGAGCAAGTTCGAAGCAATCGAGCAAATCCTCACCATTAATAATCGCCTTGACGCTCTTGCCGCAACCCGAGTCGATTTCGAGGAACGTGGACTTCTCCGACCGACCGATCCCGATCCAGTTCTTCCTACCCTTAACCCCACTCGCCCTGATCTTCTAGCAGAAGATGATGACGATAATCCAGAGATGGAAAATACTGTCGAGGCGACTGTTGTATTGGCTAAGCGTCATTGTGCGTACCATTTTGGTAATATACACTCAACTGACATCTGGGCAGTCCGAACATATCCCAAGGACCCGTTTCACCTTTCCGAATTCCTTGGCTTTCCCACGCTCCCATCCCTTATCCGTCGTTTTCTGCATGGCCAGACATTTCCGGATGACGACCTTGATCTTGTTGATCCCCTTTCCTATCCAGACGTCCCGGCTCGCATCAAAGTCTTTCCCTCAGCAATTGCTGCATTCCATGCACCCAGTGATGTCTGTAACTCGGCAGGCCTTCTCCGGGAACGTATCCGGGCGGTGCGGTCATGGCGTGGTGCCAAACCCCGATTTGACTGTGTTTATGCCTCTGGTAGCGATGAGGAGGGCTTCCGTGGTCTGCTTGCTGCCCGGGTGCTACTTTTCATGTCCTTCACCCACCGCCATGTCGAATACCCCTGCGCTCTGGTCACTTGGTTCTCACCAACAGATGATATGCCTTGTCCAGATGTGGGTATGTGGATGGTTCAACCTGACCTTGATGATGCTGGGGACCGCATCATGGACATCATCCATCTTGACACCATTGTGCGTGCAGCACATCTCATTCCAATATTTGGTCAAGATCCTCTACCTACTGATTTTCATTTTTCTCTGTCACTTGACAGTTTCAATGCTTATTATGTAAATAAGTATGCAGATCATCACTCACATGAAATTGCATACTAGCTTATTTTCTATACTCAAGTTCCTTTTCATATTTAATTTATCACCCTGTTTTTCCAAATTACTAAGACAATTTATAAATAAGATCCAAGACCAGCTGGAAAGACCAAAGATTGACCAGGAAAGCTCAAAGATCATCTACCAAAGACCTAAGATCAGAAAGACCCTGCCATAAAGATCAAAGACCCTCCCCAAAGACTAAAGATCTGAAAGACTTTTGTGCACTTTTACTGATGCAGTGGTGCGGCAGTGGTGCGGCACCCCAGCGGGACCGTCACACTGCCGCTACACACATGTACACTGCCGCTACACACACAGTTACCGCTAGGAGCACTGCCGCGCGCTGAAGGTGACTTCTCCCTTGAGTCGGCGACGGCGTTGTTACGAAAGCGTCACCTGACACAACACAGCCACACGCATCTTGCCTTCGACATCCATCTGCGAGATGGAGAACACCATTGTGTGGCTTCTGGGCGCCTCCAACGCCCTACTCGTCATCATCCTAGGCCTATATCACGCCTCTGACATTGCTTCCACGGCGTCTGCGTGGCTCACTTTGCTTGCAGCCCATGTCAACGTGGCAGCCTTTCAGTGTTGTAGATAAGGGTCTTAATAAGGGTCAGTCTCCAAGATAAGGGCTTATTGTGGAATTTGCCCTTATTAAGGGTCCTGATAATAAGGGTCTTATTAAGGGAATTTCCTTTTTGGGACACTAAGGTTTGAAGCTCATTTAAAGGTTGTAATCATTGCCTGAGCCCTCCATTGCACCATCATCAAGTTCCTTACCACTGTATTCTGCCAGCAACAGCTCCATTAGCCAACCCATGTGGCCCAGCACCCATGCTGACAGGCGGCTGTGCAGCTGTGACCTGTTACTTGATGCAATCAATAAGCATATTAAGGGCCTTATCTTGGACTAGCCACAAGATAAGGGTATATCATTACCTTGAAAATAAGGGTTATTTTCAATAACCCTTATCATCTTATCTACAACACTGCAGCCTTTGCGATCTATGGGCTGGTACTTCTGGTGCTGTTTCTTGGCTTTATAATTCCAAAGCCTGGATATATTATTAAGACTTGTACCTTGGTAAGAGCATGTGTGAGAGAGCAAAGTATACATGGTATGGCTCACATTGGATCCAACTCTTTCCTGTAGATCTATAGAAACCAATTTACCAAAAAAGGAAATTTATGATATATGCCTGCTATTGAGATGTGCATGGCTATCTAAGGTTTGATGAGAGCCTAGGAGTCTTCTACACCTAACTTTCATCTCCTAAAACATAGACTTCAACAACTTAAACCACTATAACCTGGTAGAAATATTATCTTAAATGTCTTGGATATTCAATACTAGAAAATCTCTGTGGTGGACATAATATTAAGAATTGGCCTTCTGGTATACTATCCATTGGGCATATTTCTATATATAACTTGTTGCATATCACATCTATGAGATTTCCTCCCTCCTCTCTATGTCAGATGATGAGCTGATCCAAAAAGGAAATTATGTTACTTCTGTGCCCAGTGTTAGAATTTACTGAAATTGGGTGAGTAAGTCTAAAGCTACCTCTCTTACCTCACTGGGCTCCCAGGAGGAGTTAGGTCTGGGCTCTTGAAATGTTATTCAAAATTTTCCTTTTTGGGTAGAGTGTACATCCTAGTAACTGCAGTGACTTGGCCACTCAGCAGGCTGAATGGGAGTGGAAACACCCCCCCCCTCTTGTCTCACTGAGGAGTTGAGTCTATATAGGTCAAAATATTGCCAAGAATTTTCTTTTCAAGTTGTGACCATGTATGCTAGATCTACACTAGGTCCTGAAACCATGGCTAACCAGCATTCCCTTGTGAAACATAATTCTAAATAAGCAGCAGTGCAGCGGCATCTCACGAGAAGTGCAGCAGTGCTGCAGCACTAACGCGGCACTGCAGCGGCTGCAGCGGCCAATTAGTGTAGCCCCGTTGTCGGGCTAGCGAAGGGCCGTATACGCCGATGCGATACCGGGACGATGAGTTTCTTGTGCCATGGGCATTGGGCAAGGTGGAGTTCACACAAAAAGAGCGAGATGTTTGCAGAGCTGTCTCTCGACGTTTCAAACGCTGGCCAAGATCGTCCCCCACATCGGCACCAGCTCATCCGGCTCGACCACTTTGCATAATTCCGAACAGGAGGCCCCAGCAACTTCATTTACTAGTTCTAGTCTCTCGGCGCCACGGTGTACATTGGTGGTTCCTCCCTCGCATACTCCAGCTCATGCTCTAATTCCCTGACACGCTCACGTAGTGCGTCATTCTCTGCTCGATGCCTGTCTGGACCCTCCATCGACGTTTGTTCGCCGCTGCTGTCAACTGGTGGATTGGCAGATAGCGATATGGGACGGAAAGCCTTCCGCGAGACCGCTCCGTCGGACGGCGGTGCAACCTCGGTGAACGGCGATACAGCAGTGGCCAATGCACGCCTTCGTTTCCAGCGAATGACGCGGAAGACGATCAGGAAAGCAAGAGCGATGAGCAGGACAACACCAATAGCGATGCCGACAACGGCAGCTGGGGCAAGGCGCCTGGAAGATAAAGGTCTCGCTGACGATGTGGAACCGCCGTGGCTGGTGGGTTTGTTCAGCGTCATGCTCGAAGGTGGAGTTGCTTCTGATGACCGGATCAGAGAAGAAGACCGACTGGTCGGCATTGCGAGGGAGATATCGCTTGCTGCATCTTGAGTCGAAGTTCTACTCACGATTCCGTGGTCTGCCGAGTCAGCCTCCCGAGAAACAGATGTGGAGCTAGGCTGGCCAGTCGGCGCTGTGAGGGGAATGTCACTTGTGAGACTGGGAGTATGCTGCTCTGTCGAGGCTTGCGGAGGTACTGTGGTGGGCGGCGCCGGGTTCGTGCCACCTCCACTGTCCTCCACAAAAGGACATGTTGGGGGTCCGGGGGCCAATTGGCCGTTCTAGAGGCTGCAGATGAGCTGTACTGCCATAACACCACAGCGACGCACAATATAGATACAAGTCCCTCCATTGCCGGCGTAGGTGCATCTCTGTGTGACAGGCTCATCGCCTGTGCTGCTACTCGTGAAGCTCAGCCGATTACCCGCGTTGTCGGTAGGTGGACAGGTGGTGGAGCGAATGGCGAGGCCGCGCAGCATGGATGGTGCGGATTGGCACAGAGAGAACGTCGATCGAGGGAATAGAGCCAGGCTCGAGGTCATGGTCGGGAGAAGCTACGAGACGACGAGTCATCCCGAGCGCAAGTCTGCCGATCTCATGCCAGCTTGACAGGTACAGCGCCGGAATCGCAGTTCCACTTCTCTCTCTGGACATGGCAGCAGTGCTTGGTGCACCAAAGTGGATGAACTCGACTCTGTTCGCAGGTCAGAGCATTGATAGTGAGCAAGGACTAAAAACGCGCACACAAAGTCCCTTCCTAGCCGACGCGGGCGCAATTCGCACCGGCCAACACTGTCGTGACTTCAGTCCGAGATGCGGTGCGTCTTCGGCAGTGTTTGTGTGTGAGACGAGGCGGTGGTATAACCTGGGAAGATAAGAGGAGACGCTGGAAGGCGTGGTATGGCGGGATGACATCTGGAAGGCGGAGACGAGAAGGCAGTGCCGGCGCCACTGCCTGTGCTGTGTAGGGACAACCAACAGACGTCGTCACACCGACCATAAGAGGTGGAGGCTGCGGTGGTCGTCAATATGAGAGTCGGGTGCGCTATGCCGCCGCCCAGACATGCCACATGGTGGTCGGGAAGAAAGAGGCGATTGACGTGGCACGTGCAACACGGCATGGTCCGTGCGCGCCACGTCAATCACGGGCAAATCCCCGTTTCCCTTCCTTCCTTCCGCCCCCTTCTCCCTCCGGCAATTCTCTCTGCTCGCCATCTACGATCCCCGTCGCCATTGTCGACTATTCCTTGCTAATGACTCCTCCCAGCCCTCAACTTGTCGTCCCGCTGGACGGCCCGCTTCGTTTGTGCGATGCTATTGGTTGGCTGTGAGCCTGAGGAGTCGAACGAGACCGCCGGAGCCTGCTGTGGCGCCACAGCGGGGGACACGGCTTCGAGATGATGTAGGCGTCCAAACGGGTGCGCTACAGTTTTCCGTTTCGTGCTGTCGCTGATTGGTTCACGTCGCCACCGCGTCGGGCTGCATGGCCAGTGCTCTCCCGCTTGCTCAGCGGCTCTTAGGCGCAGCATACGGCGAGAGCTTGGGGCGGCCCACTCGATACATCCAGTGTGTGGCCACAGTCATCCTTCATGCACCGCCGCTGACGTCCGGTTTTGCAGGCGCACCATTATCAACATTCAGAGAGAGTTACAGCTGCAGGCGGGGCGCTCAGTGGCCCGCTCCGCCGGCATGCGCGAGCGGAACGGCGTATGGCGGTACCACTCTGTATTTCAACGCGCGAATCCATCATTATTTCCCCCCGTCCTCTCAGCGTTGCCGCGCGCAATAACCCAGGCCAGGTATCGCACCACCGGTTGATCAGCCGTGCAAACATCTGAACACCACCCATCCGTTCCGAATACTAATAATACATTGAATCCGTCACATTTGTTCCCATTTCCGACAGCGGTAGCCTTTCTTGGTCCTTCACCAGCTTCCGCGCCACGTCCCGCGCCCGACGCCGGCCGCTATCGACTCTCCCAACCTTCGTCGATTTCCCCCGGCTCCAGACTTGAGCCGCGCCGCGCCCTCTTCGCGGCACGCTCACCGTCCGGCGGCGGCCGAGCCATAACACGCGGACCGATCCGGCCGAGTAGCGAGTCCCCGCCAGGGGGCCGAGGGCGGTACCGGTCGCGCCGGTCCCGATCGTGCTGCGTTGGCGGGACAGGCTTCGCCTTGGCGCAGAGCACGTCCCATGGCACCGGCACCGCGTCTTCAAGATGAGATGGCCGGCATCGCCGCACGGGAGGGTCAGCACGCGCACGCCTCTGAATCGCATCTCGCGCGTCGCGCCGCGCCCGCACCCTCTGCTGCTATAACGCGTCCTCAGTCAGCAACGGCATCGAAGTCCCTGGATCGACACACCGAAGTCTGTTCATTGGCCAACCGCCGGTGGCGCAGGTACGCATCAGGAAGGGGTACCAGCTTAAGCTTGCGGTCAACGAATTGATACCACAGCCCCTCATCCGAGAGGGTCTTTGACTGGGCTGGGTTTGGATTCACGTTCGCTGGCGCAGCACTCGGGCCCGCGGAGACCGGAGCGACAGGATGGATTTTCCGAAACCGGAGGGTGCGCAGGGGCGATACTGGGGTAGCCGGGGCCCCCACGGGTGGTGTCGGAGCTACCGCACTGGTATTCGCAGCCGGAGCCCGGAGAGGTGTGTCGCCAGGCCGGGGAATAGTCTGAACCGCGACCTTCATTTCGATGGTTGTTGGCGGTGTCTCCCGCATGCCGGGCGTCGCCTGCTCTTCGTTCTCGCAGGGTTCGTCCAGCCACGCGAAATGCGCTGCGGGGAGGACCACTTCGATGGGTGGAAGCGCTGCTACGGAGGCGATACGCTTCGGTGCGGGCGCGATGTCGGGCGGAGGGCGTGGTGACTACAGCAATGAGAATACATCGAGTTTCAAGAGCCGCAACGTGCCTCCGGTTGTGCCCCGCGTAACGGTTTTTCGGTGGGGCTTCTGCTTTGAGTCGGCGGGGCAGACTTGACGACGCGCTGGAGTGCCGTTGAATGGATACTGGCAGCACAGCTACTGACCACGGGCATCGTGGTCACCTTCTTCGCTTTCCGCGGCGTTTGAGGAGTTCCAGAACTCCCCATCACGGCGACTGCCGCGGGACTCGCGGCAAGACCAGACGTTTCGGACGCAGTTGAAGGCGGATCGGGACGGCGAGACGAGTTTGGTCGCTGAACCTGCAAAGGTAAATAGGTCTATGGCTTCGACGGTATTGAAGACGCACTGGAGTATCGCGTCGTGTCGTTTGAGTCCGCACTGTCAGCCTCGGAGAGACAGCGCCTGGAACGTTTCCTCGGGTCGGCGGAGATTTCGCCGTCTTTTTCTGTGTTGCCTCTGCCGATGCTGCCTCCCGTGAGCCCATTACCAGCTATGAGCGTCGGAAATGAGGGCAAGAAGCAAGACAACGGCGGCAGACACACCGGCAGCACCTCGCTCCAAACCTCCCGCTCAATCACCAGCCTCTTCTCCCACTCCCCCAGCTCCCCCAGCCGCGCATCCACGTCTACGGCAGAGCACGGGTGCTCCAAGCGACCCTGCAGCTCGTAGTGCTCCTAATCCAAAATGTCAGTACAAGTTTTCTTTCAAAAAACAACGCACTGTCTGCAGCTCAGCCTGCTCCGCCAACTGGGCCTGTATTCCCTCAATCGCCTTCAGCGGGTGCGCGCTGAATGAGTCCAGCGTCTTAAAGCATTATAAGAACAGCTCCGAGTCCCAGAGAGTGGACTTACATATCCAATCGCGCGTACATCCGCCTTTGTCGCGTCGATCTCGATCCGCAGGCGCGCCAGCTCAGCGATGATCTTGCCGCTCGCGCTCAGCCTTTGTCATGCGTAGAAGCAGCCCAGAACTCACCTCCGCATCGCCCATCATCGTTATCGAAGGAGTCCACCGTCCACGACGGCGCGTGTCTAGATGCACAAAGAGGGATAAAAGAAGGAGGGATAAGTCATCTGTCACACCATGACACGCTTGATGGCCGCCTCGAAACTTGGCGTAATTGATGTGGAATCAAGCACGTGCAGTGATGGTGGTTCGTGCGCAGATGCCAAGCCGGAGCATCTTCTTCCCCTTCCCCTCACTTCCCCTTCCCCTTCCCTCCGGGCGCCCTGTAGCGCGGCCATGCACGTCGCTCTCGCAACGCCAGAGCTCTTCAACCTTGTCTGTACAACCAGTAACCACCTCCCCAACCTCGCCCGCCTCCCTTACTGCTGGACAGCGCTCACGCTGGAGACGCTCAAGATCCAGGTCAACTCAGCACCGACGTATGATCCCTTCTTGCACCATGTCATTGATGCCTTCTCTGAGCGGTGCAGCGGCCCTCATCTCCGCAACTTCTTGTTCTCCATCAACTACCCCCCCGAAAGTCAGTGGGAACCGCATCCAGCTGCGCTCATAGACCCACTCCTTCGCTATACTGCGCTGCAGGCAGTGGATATTCGGCTCTCTTGCAACATTGACATCGATGACAACCGGCTTCGGCAGCTTGCCCAGGCATGGCCGTAGATTGCCCGACTGCATCTCGCGACTAACAAGGCACGTGTTGGGCCCCGCCACCGCCAACCGACCCGAGCAACGCTGCGGGGTTTGCTGGCCCTCGCGCAACACTGTGCATTTCTGGAAGAGCTCACGCTGAATATTGACGCGACGGTGCCCGATAGGGGACATTGGGTCTGATAGCGCGGCCCACGGACTGCCCCCCTGAGGACGCTCAACACCGCCGACTCGCCGATTCCCAAGGGGCGCCTCGCCGTGCCCGTTGTGTGCTTGCTCGTAGTCACCTTTCCTCGTCTGTCGCTCATCACCACCCCCTACCCCGATCCGACCCACAGCGCCAGGAAGTCTGCGGAGGACGGAAGGGCCTGGACGGTGCTCAACTTGGCATTGGCAAGGCTGGCCGCTGAATAAGCTCGTGGGCAGGGCCGGCGGCGAGTTGGAACCGTTTGCGGAGCTTGTGCAGCAGGCCGAAGGCATTGTGGTACCTTAGTAAAGTGGTTTATCATATGAAGAGCAGCCAAAAATAGATCAACCATAGGGCAAACAGCGTAATGTCAGAATATGTATTGAACAATCAAATCAGAAGCTGATAGAAACTATCACTCCCCTCCGGGAGGACGTTCCTGTCCTTCAACAACCTTTCAAAGTCCTGCAAATCGATAACACGCTCGCCACCAGGAGCCAGGAGGTTTCTTGCAACATCACGAGCAGTAACGAGAATAGTAGGAGTGGTACTCACAGAGTAGGACTCAGTCCCACTTTGATGGCCCAGTCCCATTCTCGCGGCGCCGAGAACACATAGCCGAGCCCTAACAAGTCAACGAAAATCAGAATATCAATCATAAAAAGATGGATCACGCACCGCGCAGCGGGCCTCCGTGGCGAACGGCAGCCCGCGGCAGCGTGGGGTCCGGGGCGAAGCCCTCGGTCGGGGTCCGGGGTGGAAAACCCCGGCCGTCGCGGCCGGCGCCGCAACCCTGTCAAAAAATAATGAAATCAGCTGAAAAGAGATGCCACGCTCCGTGCAGCGGGCCCCGCGGCGAGCGGAAGCCCCCGGCAGGGTGGGTCCAGGGCGAAGCCCCTGGTCGGGGTCCGGGGTGGAAAACCCCGGCCGCCGCGGCCGGCGCCGCCACCCCGTTGATGCGATGGTTGTCGATCCATCACCTGGGGTTGATATGCGGGATGCGAGTCCCATTCCGGGGCCGCGGGAGTAGGACTGGGACCCATCAAAGTAGGACTGAGTCCTACTGTGCGAGTCCCAGTCCTACTATTCTCGTATATACTCCAACATCACGGATAAGCATGGGTGGCTCATTCCAGCGCAGCGGAAGGATGATAGAGTGTAATTCCGCACCAACGGAGAGTTGCACGATGTGTATGTCCATCATACCTTGGCTTCTGCGTGCGCGATCGAGCCACTCCTTCAGCATCGCCACAGTTTGCGGGTGTTTGTTGAGAGTAGTCATCTGGTCGGAGTCATTGGTAGCGAAAGCCATCACTATTGGCCCCCAGTTGGCCCATTGAGTATAATCAACGATGACAGCATACGATCCGGGCGCCGTGCAGTGGCCGGCGAGAGACGCAATGGCGTAGTGATACTGGTTAGCATTGTGCTTGTAGTGCTCGTACGCAATGACGGCTATATCCCGTAGGTCGCGCGAAGAAAAGACATCGTAGATTTCTGGCAAGGTGTGAACTTCTCGGAAATACACACACTGGGGCTTGACCTTGAGCGGTAGAATGCAGGGTTGAACACTGCATTCGATGGTTCCCTGCCCTCCAATCCGCCCGTTGGCAGCGGACAGAGCAATAGAATCGCACTCTACAGCCGGCGCATTTTTTGAATGACATCTTTAAGCCAACCTGGCCGCACTAGCAGGTACGATGCGATAAGTATAGACTATAAAGCCATGCCAAAAACCGGCACAAACCTGCGTCGAATCACAAGATAGCCGCATGGAGTCGATAGTTCTCGCCTTCTTGTGAATATCCCTGTGAACTTTGACCATTTCGAGCAAGTTTGCCATAGGTTGACGACACGGGGATTGGCGGAACGCGGGAGAGATCAGAAACTTGCCAGCCATCTCGATGCTGCGGAAAATGAGGTGATTAATCGAAGAAAGTAGGGTCGCCGGCATGAGTATCTCGCGGATGATGGCAAAAACCCTCTCGGAGACAATCTTCCTTTGTACATAACGTTCCTTGGTAACCGCAATAAGTAACGGGGTCAATGTACCCTGCCGAAGGAGGGAACACATATCGGCCCGCTTGCGTATCATGGCGAGAGCCACGGTCGTGATGAGGCCGCCGAGAGCGATTTCCCATTGGCCAAAGCGTTCGACAGTGAAAGCAGCGGTGTCGACGAGGCATAAATGGGTGACCAGCTTGACGATGGTTTCAATGCTGAGGTGGCGGAGAAACGCGCTGAAGAGTGGGCCTGGGTGAGCCAAACTGGACGGCCGTTGATATGTGTGTCTGAGAGCATCGCTGATTCTGCCAAGAGATTCGACAATCCACACGAACAACGAGAGACCGACGACCGTGCCGACGGCCTCGATGGGAGGTCCTGAGTTGAGGTAATCGGCATATACTCGAAGATGAGCGGCATAGAGAGCAGCCACATCGTCTAGACCACCCCCCGGCACCCTCGAGGCTCTCCTCAATTTGAGCAGCAGAGATTTCACAGGGTAAGAAGGAGTAGATACTCCAGACGGCATCAGGAAGGCCAATGGCAGTCTTTAACGTCGAATTTCCGGACAGCACGATGACCCATACGCGGTAAAGCAGCCGTACAAAACCGGGTACCACAGCGAGGTCTTTAGAACTTGGGTGTTCGGAGAACGCGGTACTGGTATACCGAAGGAAAGCATGGAGCGCGGTTGTCTCGTTGAGTTTGTGGATGTGTCGATATATTGGGGGGATAGCATCGAAGGTCATTTGAAGGAACGAGACCCAGGGCATGATGCGGTACCACGCTTCTCGGAACGGAGCACCGTCCGCGCCGAGTTGGGCTTCTATGCGCGTTCCTCTGGTCTCATCTAGCGCTGCTAACAAGCCACGAATGGACATCATGGCAGTGTGCAGCGTGTAGTCGATGCGGGGCGAGGGATTGTCAAGGGCAGTTGGAGGTGGGATTCGTTCTGAGTCAAGAAGCACCCAGTATAAAGGCAGCAGGAAAGGCGTCCATCGCCTTTCGACGTTCACTAGATCGGCGAAGTGTGAAAGGTCCCGAGGCTCAGTTGCCCGAGCAAGGGCCACGGCAACGGTCTAGATACTTTCTGTAACAGAATGGACGGCGAAGCAGTGGAACTCACGCGAAGTCGAAGTGGCAGACGTTCAAGCACCCGCAGATCGAATGCAGGGTGCATGATGGGCGGAGGCAACCTGTCGTCAGGGTGTCACGAATCATGACGTGGCGTCACTGCGTCACATCGGATCACCGATAATTTCCTCTCTTCTTCTCCGTCGACCACGACGTGTCGCGCGCAGTGTCTAGCGCGTAGAAACATCTCAAAACACTGTGAAAATGCTCAGCGCAACTCGTGTACGAGCGCCACATTGCCCTGCGCATGGGGGGTGGAGCGCCGTGCGAAAGACTTTGTCAGGCGAGGACCACAGAGGGGGTCCCTGTGGGTTGCGGAATCAGCTCTAGGTCTGGCGCGGGGACCGGCAAGGTGCGTGGTCCGCAGTTTTCTGGACATCGCCGCTGAGACAGGTCCACGGACTATCGCGGTGGCCGATTTAGAGTTTAGACACAAAAAACACCTACGAAGTGGAGAAGATAGTTGGATGAGGTGCGTGCCACGCGTGTCGCGCAGAACCGGGCATCTGACCTTTGAAAGTTGAATGTAGTCATTACAACCTCATGGCCCCAACACATATCGACTTGGATGACACACGCAGCGTCGGCTCGCCGGGCTCGAGCGTCAGCAGTTGCCTTCCCACTCCGTTATCAAACAGCACTCACCCACTGCAAACACTCCTTCCGCACACTGCCCCCGCCTAATGCATTCCAAGCTCCGCAATCCTCTGTGGCCTCCCGCCCAGACTACCTGTTCCTCTGAGAGTCTCCCGCCTCCGACTCCTTCTGCTCAGGATACCCGGCCGATCTGGCTGCCAATGCTGAGCATAACATTGAGCTCCTGGCACCATCTTCCTCCGCTGTCCGACTCCTTACGCTCGAATTCTCAGCGTTTTTCTGGAGCGACGAGCAACTCTTTCACGACGTCGCCCTACCTGACGCTCGGCTCCCGGCTGGTGAGCGTTGTTGAAAAAGGGTGTGAATTTTAAACGCATATACACTGGGGACGTTATGTGTGCTATACACCAGCACACGAACATGCTAGTCCTGCAACATTGTGAATTGGGGAAGATGAGAAAAGCAGACCAAACACGCACCGATTTGTTCTTCCCCTCACCCGCACTAGCTTCTCCTGACGAGCGCGGGATGCGTGCACCGTGGGAAACACGCAGAAGCGCCCCACAGGGCAACTTTCAAAAAGCCCAGTTGCGGGCTGATGCTGATTCGAACGGGCGGAGAGCCGGCCGCGGACCGAGTCGCGCCGATGCGGACATCAAATCCGGAGGCAGTGGTGCCTTGCCGGTGGTTACCGGAGCTCCAGAACTGCAGGAAGATGACGGAATAGCGTCCCCAACAGGTGCTTAGCACGTCAACAAGTGCACGCGAAGCGCAACAGCGACGCCGAGCAAGCGCGTGACCCAGTGTGACGAAAGGCCGGACGCTAGCTGGCGGGAGACAGCAGTTGAGCAGGTACAGCAGGGCGCTCGAGTATGGGTGCAGCGTTAGGGTAGTGGTGAGAGATACACTACAACAGGCCGACTCTGGGATCGGCATCACATCGGGCACCGGAGATCGTGAATCTGGGGCAGTGGAGGAGTCGCCGACAGCCGCCGGACATCAAGAACGTGTCCCACAGCATGGACAAAGCCATGGGATGTGGTGTGGGCGCCATATATGTGGCATGGGAACAACTATTGCAGCGCACGACGCATTAGACACGCAGCACGGAGTGAGATAGTGGGACCGGGCAGGCCGGATCGGCGGTCACATGACCGAATCGCGGGGCTACGCCGCAGGCCGAAGACGGGGGCCGATCAAGGAGTTCGCACCGGCGGTGCTTCCGCCTCACCCGATACATCAAGGAGGCCTCCTTGGGACGCCCAGGATACGTCAAGGGGTCTGGAATGGAGGAGTTGTGTGTCAAGGAGGCCGAGTGCGGGGGCCGATCAAGGGGAAGCGCGCCAAGGGGAATCAAGGGGACACCCGATTGTCGGGGCCACCCCCGATGGTCTGGGGAAGCTGACATAATGCGGGGTCGTGTGGGGTATAAATTCACGCTGTATCGTAGCTATAAGGCAGAATAGAGTTGACCCCGGACTGAAGCGGGGTGTGTGTCCGTTATCGCCGTTCTTGATCGCTGTCGCCGTTATCGTTATCGAACCTCTGCCGTTGTTATCCGTCGTTGTCTCTGCTTTGTTTCGCCAAACATCTTTGAACCCCGAATCCCTCAATTTCCAAGAAGATCGTCCCAACTTCTGAACTGGTGTCGCTTATGTAAGAGTGGTTAGATGTGGATACCACTGATATGCACTTCCCTTCTGGGAACGTCGCCTTTCCTGGATTGTGCGACCCCTTTTGGAGCTGCAAGCATGGCAGCTGTTGCTCTTGATGCAGTTGGTGGTGGTGGCTATGTTATTAGGAGGAAGAAAAGCAACAAAAACAACAGAAAACATAAAACCTTCAAACAAATCGGATGTGACTGTGACTGTGACCATTGCTGTGACTGTGACCATTGCCATTTTGGGTTTTAGTTCTGGTTTTGGGTTTTGGTTAGGTTGCCTTTGGGTTAGTTGTTGGGGAGTACAGGTCACACCTCAAGAGACATGTTCAAGATGTCACACCTGTTATTATGCTCAGCTCAACCTTTACCTGGCCCTCTCACATCATCACCTCCTCCTCTTTCTCTTCATCTTCTACTTTTCACCATTCACTCTTGTCAGCACTTGCTTCTTATGGATTGCAGCATGGATATACTTTCCATGGAGCCCCGAACACACCGACCACGTGATGGGTGTTTTGTTTGTTTGTGGAGTTCATTCCACATCCAGCTTAGGTCCCATCTCGCGCGTTTCACTCCCAGTCCCACACCTAACAGAAACGCCATCTGCGTAGATGCCCCAGCATACACGAACCCAACACTCCCCCAGCACATCGCGTTCCACTCCCACGCGCGCCAGAAAACATCTGTCCCAAGCGGCGCCATGCTGACAAGGTGGCCAAAGTCGGCCACGAGAAGGACGAAGAGCAGCCGGCGCCAGGTCTTGAGCGACAATGTTGAAGAGAGCACGAGATGCTCGTTGAGCGCGAATAGGAGGTACAAGTTGGCCAGCTGAAGCAGCACCATGGTGGACTGCGTGCTCAGCGGCGTTGCCAGCGGGCGGGAAGAGGGGAGGGAGAGGTCGTGAATGTAGGCGGCGGGTTGGAAGGCTGCGTAGTAGGCTCCCGCAAGTGCCGAGATGGGTTCGATGTAGAGAAAGAATGTAAGGGCAACCCCGGAGGCCTGAGATCAAGGTCCTAGCAGGGGAGGATCCAAAGGCGTGAACATTGGTAAGCGAATACAAATGAAGCTGACCTAGCAGGGGAGGATCCAAAGAGAAGAAACTCTAAGGGTCCGCCTGCTAGGTAGCTGACTATATACTGCTTGTCCGTAGCTGCCGCTGTCGGGCACAGAAGGCTTGGGTGGCGTCGCAGGCGAGGTCCCAGGGCGACCGTCGGGAGGGCGTTGACGGATCGGTGATTGTGCGGGCGAGATGGAGGGCCGGACCGGAGTCGGAACCGGAGTCGGACCGGAATCGGGCGCGTCTCCGGGCCGAAAGGGAGGTTCCCCTGACATCACCCCCCCCCCTTTGAATGCGGCGTCCTGACGCATAGACCGGAACAGAATCGAGTCGAAGGTTGCGGAGGCAATGTGTCGTGGCTTGCCAGGGTACTTACGATAGAACTCTGCAATTTTCTCCGGGGCGAAGACGCGGTCGAAGCGGACCCATTGGTCGTGCGATGCGTCGTGTAGCCTTTCCATCTGACGAAGTAGTTCAGCCGTTTATACCTCACCCTTGCGTCCAGGATTTCCTCCACTTCCCACTCCGGGACTCCGTCCTCGAGGTCCGGAGGGGGCTGGTCGTAGCCGGGCGTCCGTCGAAGGGGGTCGTCCTGGGCGAGCTCGAGCTTGACGACGGGGAAGACCGGGTGGAGCTTCGAGTAGCGCGGAGGGAGGTCGAGCTTGTAGGCATCTTTGCTGATCTCCGCGACTATCTTGAACGGTCCAAGGCGGCGATGGGAGAACTTTTCCGAGGGGCGAGTCGTCCTGATGTCAGAGGCATCCAGCCAAACACGGTCGCCAACCTTAAACCCCGGAGACGGAGTCCGTCTCCGGTCGTAGTAGCGCTTGTACTCCTCTTTGGCCTTAGTGAGCGCGGCCTTGGCTTCAGCAACACCAGTGGCGATCCGGTCGCGGAACTCGTTCACTGACTCCATGGCGGAACGGACTCCGGGTTCAAAGCCCATGCGCAGGAGCCGTCCCGTGTCCGTCATGAAGGGGACCTGCTGCGTGGAGGAGTGAACGTGGTTGTTGTAGGCAAACTCCGCGGCCGGAATCAGCTCATCCCAGTCGTCCTGCTGGTAGTTGGTGAAGATCCGCAAGTACTGCTCCAGCTCCTGGTTGACGCGCTCTGTCTGACCGTCTGTCTGCGGGTGGTACGCGGTGGACGTGGCGGGCTTGATGCCGATTAGACGCCAAAGTTCTCAGGTGAAGTCCGCGATGAACTGCGAGCCGCCGTCGGAGACGTACTTCTCCGGAGTCCCATGGTGCCGCCAGACATTCCGGTAAGGTAGACGCAAATTGATTTCATCGAGTGATGGGATCAGATATTGTCACGCACCTTCGCGCTGCTTCTCCGCGACAAGGACCAAGAATGGAAGTAATGTAAAACCACAGTCTGGAGCTGTCCTACATACAGAACCAAACTGTGGTTTTGAATTTTTGATATCGGCTCTCAATTCAAAGTTTTTCAAGAAATTTTGTAGAATGACTTGAAATGCGTAGTCCGAGCGAATGCAGCAAAGAAAAAAATAAGAAAGTTTTTTTAGCGCAATCAGATGTGACATCAGTCACTGATGTCACGTCATGTGCCACTTCACGTGATCGTGCCACGGCCATTCGAACGCGCTTTTTGAGGCTCAATTGCAAGTCTAAGTACTTGAAGTACTTCCAATCTCTTTGGACAAGTATGCCGGTGAATAAAAAGAAGAGAAAGGCGCAAAATCTTGGTATACATGCTCAGAAACAAGCCAAAGTAAGCAACATGAAATTTTCCAGTGGCCATGTATTCACTGTTTACAGCGCCAGCGTGTGTTACTAGTGCTAGACAGCGATGATGAAAGTTCATCCAATGAGAACCACTTCCCTCACGAGTCCTCCGCCACCATTATTACTTCCGAGTCAGAGGAGTCGGAAGACGAGCCAAGTTATGAATGGCCCGACACTGATGAGGTGCTCGAAGTTCAAGAAGAGAGCGACATTCCCCATCCAAAAAGCACCCAATCCCTTCTTGAATGGCTCGAGCTCTGTGACTTAGCACTGCCAGAGTCAGGAAGAGTGCTCCATTCAGACTCTCGACAACACCCTACAATCCATGTCAGCGCAGGACCAAAACGGAGAGGACCATATTACAAAACCCAGATTGGAAAACAACCTTCAAAGCGAAGAGAACAGTCACTTGCGAAGGCTGAAAGGGAACGCGAGCAACGAGAAGATAATGATGACAAGAGAACCAAGGTGAAACAGTCGACACTCTTCCAGAGTTTTGCCAAGTCCACACATTCCAAGCCACGGGTTATCGAGCTGAGTAGCGACTCAGAAGCTGGCAGTGACGGTGACTTGGACAAGGACAGTCAGCCGGTGGTGAATGTGGAACAAATCAGGGATGAGGAAATGGACAAGCCGATAGAGGATGAATATTGGTGCGAGGATGTGATGATTTTGGATGGGAACGAGCTTGAAGAAGAACATGTGGAGGGACTCGGAAGCCAGTCGGTGTTTGGAGAGAGAGGCCTGTCGTGTCCCATCCCATCTGCCACATTCGACAACGAAGCTGATGCAACGCCCATCACAACTCCAGTGAAAGTTGGAGAAGCCGAGGAGAAATCAGATGGGGAAGGGAATCCAAGAGAGACGAGGCGGAAGGTGACGGTGGAGGAAATTGAGGACGACTATGAGGGTGGTGCAGAGATCACGACTGAACCTGCTCAATTATCAGCACAAGAGCGAGCGGAAGAAGGACTAGATGACGAACCTTGGGACCCATCGCAGGAGGTGCACCCTCACGCTCTTTACCCGCCTGCGACACCTGCTGAAGTTCTTGCAACCTCACCGCAACAGCCACCTTCGCCGCCTCAGCACTCAGAACCACTTGCATACCCGCACTCCCAGCACGGCTTTACCATGCCAAACCGCACCAAGCCGCGTCAAGTTCCTGCCCAGATTCCATCGAATAATGCTGTCGTTGATGCGATTCAAAATCTCGAAGATCTTTTGCGGCGCGACGGCGAAATGGCACTGGACGGATTCGTGCAAAACTCGATCTTGTCATCCAGGCTCGTTTGGAGGCGGTGCAACGTTTCTTGCGCTTGTATAGAGCTGCTGGATTCAAAGGGTGGACGACACAGTCAGAGCTGATTGCACGAGCGGGGGGGAAGATGGGGGCGCAAACGTGGTTGGGAAGGAAACTGAGGGAGTGGTCAATCGCGTTCTGCAAAGATAAAAAGAACATACCTTCACACAAATATGGTCGCTTCAGTGCCTCGATGCTTTCGGATGAAGACATTGCAGCCGACATCCATCTCCACCTCCAATCCCTTGGTAAATGGGTATCCGTAAAACAAATCGTGGCGCTATGTCCGGACCCCAGAGTTCCAAGCTCGTTTGCGTGTCAAACGTGACATATCCGTTCGTACAGCACAGAATTGGATGCACAAAATGGGTTATCGATGGAGGAAGGAGCCGAAAGGAATGTATTCAGATGGACATGAGCGAGCTGACGTTGTGGACTACCGCCAGAATGTCTTCTTGCCGAAGTGGAGGGAAATCGAGGCTCGCTCACGTTGGTGGACACCTGACGCAACATTCGATACAGTCGATTTCGAATGTCGACAGAGGCTGTTCTTGAGTAAGGAAGTCGATGTCCGTCCGAACACCACATGGAGGCAAGACGAGTCCACCTTCTATGCTAATGACCGGCGAACATTGCGTTGGGTCCATGAGTCGGAGACAGCAACGTTGAAGGCAAAGGGAGAGGGAGCGAGTGATATGATCGGCGACTTTGTGTCACCAGAGTATGGCTGGCTGCGATCAAAGAAACTAAATGCCGCAGGGTTTGTTGGCCATGAACTTGCTGTTGAATTGAACTGACAGTTTCTTCAGAGAATCTGAAGATGCGCGCGTTCTTTTTGAAGCCTGGAAAGAACCGCGAGGGATATCAAACAACGACCACTATTCTTGCCCAGGTCACGAGAGCGATGGACATTCTGGACCGCGACTATGCTCATGATCGCCATACATTTGCGTACGACAACGCAACGATCCATACAGCCCGTGCTCCCGATGCTCTGAGTGCCATCGATATGACTCTCGGACCCTCTCAAAACTTCAACAAAGTCAAAGGTCCTGATGGCGTTGCTCGCTGCGTCCGTATGCGCGATGCTCGATTCAAAGATGGCACACCACAGTCACTTTACAATGCTGACGGTGTATTCAAAGGCTTGAAATCACTCATCCAAGAACGACGTGCTAAAGGTCACAATCTTCCCGATCCAAACTCCATCAACCCAGCAACGAGCAAAAAATACAAGCTTCAATGCCACAGCTCAAGCTTCAAGTGCCGAAGCTCAACTGACACACGCTGCTGCCTCCGCAAAATGATGTTCTCTGAGCCCGACTTTATCAGCCAGAAGTCGATGTTGGAGGAACACTGTGAGAAGCGAGGCTACACCGTCATCTTCTTTCCCCGATTCCATCCTGAGCTCAACTTTATTGAGCAATGTTGGGGGTACGCAAAAACGGATCTATCGCATGTATCCTGCATCAAGTTGTGAAGATGATTTGCGACAGAATATGTTGGAGGCCATTGACTCGGTGCCGATTGAGTCCATGCGTCGATTTGCAACACGCTCCTCGCGCTTTGCCGATGCGTACTACCGTGGCTTGAATGGTGCAGAGGCAGCATGGGCTAATAAAAAATATCGAGGGCATCGGACTCTCCCACCCTCGTATGCAGAGGACTTACGCGAGGCTCAAGAGAAGATTCCAGTGTGGAGAGCAAGTGTGAGGGGAGGTTGAAGCTTAGGAACCAACTATCATTTCCCAAACTAATACTAGAAGTGTCTATGACCGCTCTCGACGTGTGTTGGTCTTGCAGAGAATCCGCGCATGAAAATTTGGCGCTGTGGCTGTGCTGATGGTCACAATAGTCACATCAGTCACGGTCGATGAAATCAATTTGCGTCTACCTTAGGTTGAGAAAAAGCCATTGCAGTGCACTTTAGGGTGCGAGGAGCGTCTATATGAAGGCGATTTTCTGTTTATGAGCCTAGAGTTCGTTTAGCCGCCGTGGAGAATGTGGCCTTGCGGTCGGCAATCACGCAGAATTTGAGTAGAACTGACCGAAGAGTGAGAACTTAGGCCGTCAAGAGTTCCTAAGCTTGCAGTTTGGGTATATCGTGGTTAGTTGCAGTCGGTCTGAAGCAACAAGGGAAATGTGCTGCGCATGCACATCAGGTAAGCTCGGATCACATCGGCACACTCACTGATTGACGACTTCGAAGTAACCTGAGCGTATGAGTATCTGTTGATTCACAATGAATACAATACTATTACTACTCCACGACAAATTTAACAGAGTAAAGGACCCTTTTGGACCATCTATTTTTCTGGGGGATCAAGAGCCAAAAATCTTCTTCTCAGCCCAACCTCAACATCATCATCGTCTCCATTTTCCCAGCCACCCCGCTTCAGCCTGAGCTCAATTCCCTGTCGTTCACATATACTCTGCAACGCTCGCAAGGTATGTCGCTACTACCATGCAACCGCCGGCCGGGGTCCATATGACTATTTTGAGATTCTGAAAAGACGCACAGAGACGATTGTGGTTGGGGTTTGAATGGGGGCATGGCCAACAGGTCTGACGAGATCTCCAGAGTGCGAACGGAGGGAAATAAAGCGACGACAGAGTGCATGGTTCTGGGGTGCTGGGCCGCAAAAGGTCCAAATTCTTGTGTGATGTTGAGTGAAGTTATCTTGGGGCCACCGACCCGAAGTCTCTCGAGATCTTCCAAAGAAAACTCGCAGGAAATCGTCGACACCTCTAAATGCCAGTGCGGCAAATTCTTCGTCCTCAACAGAACCTCTGCCAAAAAATGCTGCCTCCGCAGCTAGCTCCGGTTCAGTGGGTTTGAGCGTTAGGCTCATCACACACCCCCAAAAGCCATCTGCTCTCAGTCTTCGTGTCCAAGGCCGCAAGGAGCGAGGGGAGCCTGCTCGGCGTCGTCACTTTCAAATGACGCTAGTCCCACTGACGGGTATTCGGAGGAAGAATTATTTGGCGAGACAGCATTTTTTGGGCTAGTGGCGACCACTGACGGCAGACGAGGGCCCGGGAGCATGAAGCAAGTATAGGAATGCTGTTTATGCATGAAATAAGGTGATATTCCAGTGGGACGGCCAGTAGGCCAAATATCTCGAGCAGAATGTCAACTGCGAGGTGAATGGAAGAAGACATGAAAGCCTTTTTTTCGGACGTTTGGTATGCCATTCCCTTCGTTGTGTGCTGGATTCTTGAGTTCGTTCAGTCTCTGTAGTGGAAAACTGTGAAACAGAACTCGACTTGCAGAGCTGAGCAATGGGTAAAAGGCGGAAATGTTGTGTTGGCAGCGCCCAAGACTCTACAGCTATCGGTATCGTAAGTCGCAGGTGGTTTGGAGGAAGTTTCAAGTTGGCAATGAGTTGCACGTGGTGCAGATCAAGCATAGTCACCCGCACTCACCTGCAGCGAGATTCTGATTTCGGCTGAATCGGCTCTAACACGATTCTTGACTTGAGTTGGGTAACTTGGGTTGGGGCAGCGGAAGGGTATACATCCAGTCGGCGCTATTCATTGTAGCTTCCTCCACCCAACTTCCTGAATTTAAAAATCGTCGCGGTCGACATAAACGGTTATCAGCTTCGTGAATTCCGGCAACTGCGAAAACCTGAACGATCCAACTTCTGATTGTTGTCTCTTTCTAAGACGCAAGCGTTCAACTTTTACTTCTGTTGTGGTCAGAGAAAGGACTGGTAGATTATTCAGATATTACCCGTGTTGCGTCTATGTGTGTGTGCCCTTATCGCCATCCATCTCCATATAAACAGACCTTCCCTCTCTCCCACTGTCCCATAGCCGAAGAAAAGGCGGCCATGGTATTATTGCCAATGTCGCAGTCCATCGACACACTCCCTTCTCAGCTCGACAACGGCCTCTCTAAAACATCATCCTCCAAATCGTCCGTTACGCACACGCTGCCAACGACAGCCATACCAGGCGAGGCAGAGCCACAGCAGCCCAATTCAGAGCCCATGTTGGCCGAGAAAGCTCCAGAAAGGTCCCCTCGTATAACACTCCGCCTCCCATCGCTATCGCGCCTGATCGACGCCCGTCCGAAGAAGGCCTTGCCGACAAGAGTGGTAGTGAGTTTTCGCTTGTCGAAGGCTAAGGTAGACGCAAATTGATTTCATCGAGTGATGGGATCAGATATTGTCACGCACCTTCGCGCTGCTTCTCCGCGACAAGGACCAAGAATGGAAGTAATGTAAAACCACAGTCTGGAGCTGTCCTACATACAGAACCAAACTGTGGTTTTGAATTTTTGATATCGGCTCTCAATTCAAAGTTTTTCAAGAAATTTTGTAGAATGACTTGAAATGCGTAGTCCGAGCGAATGCAGCAAAGAAAAAAAATAAGAAAGTTTTTTTAGCGCAATCAGATGTGACATCAGTCACTGATGTCACGTCATGTGCCACTTCACGTGATCGTGCCACGGCCATTCGAACGCGCTTTTTGAGGCTCAATTGCAAGTCTAAGTACTTGAAGTACTTCCAATCTCTTTGGACAAGTATGCCGGTGAATAAAAAGAAGAGAAAGGCGCAAAATCTTGGTATACATGCTCAGAAACAAGCCAAAGTAAGCAACATGAAATTTTCCAGTGGCCATGTATTCACTGTTTACAGCGCCAGCGTGTGTTACTAGTGCTAGACAGCGATGATGAAAGTTCATCCAATGAGAACCACTTCCCTCACGAGTCCTCCGCCACCATTATTACTTCCGAGTCAGAGGAGTCGGAAGACGAGCCAAGTTATGAATGGCCCGACACTGATGAGGTGCTCGAAGTTCAAGAAGAGAGCGACATTCCCCATCCAAAAGCACCCAATCCCTTCTTGAATGGCTTGAGCTCTGTGACTTAGCACTGCCAGAGTCAGGAAGAGTGCTCCATTCAGACTCTCGACAACACCCTACAATCCATGTCAGCGCAGGACCAAAACGGAGAGGACCATATTACAAAACCCAGATTGGAAAACAACCTTCAAAGCGAAGAGAACAGTCACTTGCGAAGGCTGAAAGGGAACGCGAGCAACGAGAAGATAATGATGACAAGAGAACCAAGGTGAAACAGTCGACACTCTTCCAGAGTTTTGCCAAGTCCACACATTCCAAGCCACGGGTTATCGAGCTGAGTAGCGACTCAGAAGCTGGCAGTGACGGTGACTTGGACAAGGACAGTCAGCCGGTGGTGAATGTGGAACAAATCAGGGATGAGGAAATGGACAAGCCGATAGAGGATGAATATTGGTGCGAGGATGTGATGATTTTGGATGGGAACGAGCTTGAAGAAGAACATGTGGAGGGACTCGGAAGCCAGTCGGTGTTTGGAGAGAGAGGCCTGTCGTGTCCCATCCCATCTGCCACATTCGACAACGAAGCTGATGCAACGCCCATCACAACTCCAGTGAAAGTTGGAGAAGCCGAGGAGAAATCAGATGGGGAAGGGAATCCAAGAGAGACGAGGCGGAAGGTGACGGTGGAGGAAATTGAGGACGACTATGAGGGTGGTGCAGAGATCACGACTGAACCTGCTCAATTATCAGCACAAGAGCGAGCGGAAGAAGGACTAGATGACGAACCTTGGGACCCATCGCAGGAGGTGCACCCTCACGCTCTTTACCCGCCTGCGACACCTGCTGAAGTTCTTGCAACCTCACCGCAACAGCCACCTTCGCCGCCTCAGCACTCAGAACCACTTGCATACCCGCACTCCCAGCACGGCTTTACCATGCCAAACCGCACCAAGCCGCGTCAAGTTCCTGCCCAGATTCCATCGAATAATGCTGTCGTTGATGCGATTCAAAATCTCGAAGATCTTTTGCGGCCGCGACGGCGAAATGGCACTGGACGGATTCGTGCAAAACTCGATCTTGTCATCCAGGCTCGTTTGGAGGCGGTGCAACGTTTCTTGCGCTTGTATAGAGCTGCTGGATTCAAAGGGTGGACGACACAGTCAGAGCTGATTGCACGAGCGGGGGGGAAGATGGGGGCGCAAACGTGGTTGGGAAGGAAACTGAGGGAGTGGTCAATCGCGTTCTGCAAAGATAAAAAGAACATACCTTCACACAAATATGGTCGCTTCAGTGCCTCGATGCTTTCGGATGAAGACATTGCAGCCGACATCCATCTCCACCTCCAATCCCTTGGTAAATGGGTATCCGCAAAACAAATCGTGCGCTATGTCCGGACCCCAGAGTTCCAAGCTCGTTTGCGTGTCAAACGTGACATATCCGTTCGTACAGCACAGAATTGGATGCACAAAATGGGTTATCGATGGAGGAAGGAGCCGAAAGGAATGTATTCAGATGGACATGAGCGAGCTGACGTTGTGGACTACCGCCAGAATGTCTTCTTGCCGAAGTGGAGGGAAATCGAGGCTCGCTCACGTTGGTGGACACCTGACGCAACATTCGATACAGTCGATTTCGAATGTCGACAGAGGCTGTTCTTGAGTAAGGAAGTCGATGTCCGTCCGAACACCACATGGAGGCAAGACGAGTCCACCTTCTATGCTAATGACCGGCGAACATTGCGTTGGGTCCATGAGTCGGAGACAGCAACGTTGAAGGCAAAGGGAGAGGGAGCGAGTGATATGATCGGCGACTTTGTGTCACCAGAGTATGGCTGGCTGCGATCAAAGAAACTAAATGCCGCAGGGTTTGTTGGCCATGAACTTGCTGTTGAATTGAACTGACAGTTTCTTCAGAGAATCTGAAGATGCGCGCGTTCTTTTGAAGCCTGGAAAGAACCGCGAGGGATATCAAACAACGACCACTATTCTTGCCCAGGTCACGAGAGCGATGGACATTCTGGACCGCGACTATGCTCATGATCGCCATACATTTGCGTACGACAACGCAACGATCCATACAGCCCGTGCTCCCGATGCTCTGAGTGCCATCGATATGACTCTCGGACCCTCTCAAAACTTCAACAAAGTCAAAGGTCCTGATGGCGTTGCTCGCTGCGTCCGTATGCGCGATGCTCGATTCAAAGATGGCACACCACAGTCACTTTACAATGCTGACGGTGTATTCAAAGGCTTGAAATCACTCATCCAAGAACGACGTGCTAAAGGTCACAATCTTCCCGATCCAAACTCCATCAACCCAGCAACGAGCAAAAAATACAAGCTTCAATGCCACAGCTCAAGCTTCAAGTGCCGAAGCTCAACTGACACACGCTGCTGCCTCCGCAAAATGATGTTCTCTGAGCCCGACTTTATCAGCCAGAAGTCGATGTTGGAGGAACACTGTGAGAAGCGAGGCTACACCGTCATCTTCTTTCCCCGATTCCATCCTGAGCTCAACTTTATTGAGCAATGTTGGGGGTACGCAAAACGGATCTATCGCATGTATCCTGCATCAAGTTGTGAAGATGATTTGCGACAGAATATGTTGGAGGCCATTGACTCGGTGCCGATTGAGTCCATGCGTCGATTTGCAACACGCTCCTCGCGCTTTGCCGATGCGTACTACCGTGGCTTGAATGGTGCAGAGGCAGCATGGGCTAATAAAAAATATCGAGGGCATCGGACTCTCCCACCCTCGTATGCAGAGGACTTACGCGAGGCTCAAGAGAAGATTCCAGTGTGGAGAGCAAGTGTGAGGGGAGGTTGAAGCTTAGGAACCAACTATCATTTCCCAAACTAATACTAGAAGTGTCTATGACCGCTCTCGACGTGTGTTGGTCTTGCAGAGAATCCGCGCATGAAAATTTGGCGCTGTGGCTGTGCTGATGGTCACAATAGTCACATCAGTCACGGTCGATGAAATCAATTTGCGTCTACCTTAGTAGAGGCGGGCTGCCCCCTACTGCATCGACCGTCGTATGACACTCCGAGAAGTGGGTGTGCTTTCCGAGGGTGTCAACGACGATCATGATCACGTCGTACCCATGGGCTTCGGGAAGCTCTACGATGAAGTCGACGGAGACGGTATGCCAGCGTTCCGGGGCGTTTCCGTGGGGTGCAGCTCTCCGTGGGGCAGTCTCCGGAGTGCCTTGGTGCGACAGCACAAGTCACAGGTCGCAACATACCGGCCGATATGGCGAGACATCTGAGGCCACCAGTAGTTCCGGGAGACCAACTCCCGTCACCTTCCTTGATCCGGACGTTGTTGAAGCCCCAACGGACGTCGAGTTTGGTGAAGTAACGAGCGCCTTTGAGCCGGTTGATGAGGTCGTTGATCAGCGGAAGGGGGTACCGGTTTTTGACAGTCATCGCGTTGAGAGCACGGTAGTCCTGGACGAAGCGGAGTCCGCCGTCCTTCTTCTTGACGAAGAAGACCGGAGACGCCATCGGAGACTTGGAGGGGCGAATCCGGCCTGTCGAAAGCCCTTTCTCGATGAACGTGTCGAGCTCGCGTTGCTCGAGGGGCGAGATGGGGTACACCTTGCAGTTGGTGGGCTTAGCGTCGGGGACGAGTTCAATGGCGTGGTCCCAGGCTCTCCGCTCCGGTAGCGTGTCATCTCGGAGGGCGGAGGGGCGGAGTTCCTGGCGAAGGCTTTGGCCAGGCGTTGCGAGACAGTACTGCCAGCGCGTATCTCCTCCGAGGGGCGGAACGAGGTGTAGAAGATGCAGTCACCATCTTCAAGCTGACCATCGTCATCGTCGTCGTCGGAGTCCGGCGTCAGATCAGGCAGGCCGGAGTCGTCACCGGAGACGGAATCGTCTCCGTCATCAGACCCAGAAAGGTCCATGGCGCAGACCGAGGGGAACGGGCCGGAGCGGAGACGCTTCTGAAGCGACCGGAGTCGCCGCAACTCGGTCCGTTCGACCCGCTCTTCCTCACGGCAGGTCGAGCAATTGCGGGGGCACCGTGTCATCTTGACCTCCTTGGTTTCCCACTTGATCTCTGGGTTATGTTTCTGCAACCAGGAATACCCCAGGATGAGGTCATGCTTGCCAAGATGGGTGACGGCCAGCTGAACTCGTTCGGCATGGCCCTTGTAGCGCAGGACCAAGTCCGCGATCTGTTTGATGGAGCCAGTGTCATTGGGGGTGCCATCGACATTGAAAACCGGAATCGGCTGATCGAGGGTGCGGACCGGAATGCCATTCCGAGCAACATAGTTCGTGTCAATGAAGTCGGAGGTGGCACCACAGTCGCCAAGCCCAGAGAGTGAGAGCTTCAGCGCGCTGGTGGTGGACTCGAGCTCTAACGGGAGGTGGAGGGAGTTTGCCCCAGGGGCAGCGGCAACGGTGTACTGCTTGGGCAGTTTCTTTTCGGGCTCATTGTAGGGCAAGGAACTGCATTCATCATACAAAGAGGCAAAACGATTTATAGACGCGAACGAGGGCACACCAGTCACTCGTTGCGGGGGACAAAATCCTCTCCGGCCATCGACTCCGCTGCCGTCTCCGGCAGGGCAGCTGTGTCCGTGTAGCGGGCGATCAACTCCGCTAACATCTCGTCACCGAGTTGTTGGATCACCTCGTCGAGGATGTCCATCGATCGGACATCGGCGGGGAGGGGGGCAATCCCGGGCGAGATGGTTCGGGTCGCCGCACCTGAAGCAGGCGCGACGAGGGGCACCCCGAGCCCTGGTGCGATCCAACTCCATAGGGATGGGAGCTGGAGGCGCCGGAGCGGGGGCGCGGGCCGCGGGTGGCACGACCGGAGCCACCGGGCGGAAAGGGGCCGGAGCCGGGATGTGGTTGACCGGAAACGGAGTCCGAATCAAACCGCCAGGCGTCTTGGGGGCGGCTGACTTGATCAGCTTGGCCCGGACCAGGGCCTCGTATTGACGGAAGGCCCGGGTGCGCCAGCTAAGGTAATCCCGGAGGTCCGGGGGGTCGTTCGAGGACGTGATTCCGTTATTGATCAGGGGGTCAAGTCCGTGGCAGAACTTGGTCACCTTGACCAGCGCGTCTTTGAATCCGGCGAGGTCCATCAGGTCCTCGAAGTCGTCAGTGTACTGGTAGACATCCTTTGTACCCATGTGATAGGCGGAAGTCTCCAGCTTGGAGAGAGCGTGATCTTGCTCATTCTCCTCGACGAACCGGAGTCGAAACTCGGAAACGAACGGGCCCCAGGACGGAAACGGAAACGGGGCTTTGCTTCCGTGGCGCTCCGCCCATTGCTGAGCGGGTCCTTCTGCCATAAACGACATGGCATAGCGGACAGCCTTTTCCTCGCCGCCTCTCCGTTGACCATGAAGGCCTCAGGGGCAAGGCGGGCGTAGGTGCGGACCGCGTAGAGGAACGCGCGGCCGCGTTTCCGGTCGCCATTGAAGGTGAACGGGGGTTTGGTCGCAAGACCAATTTTGAGGCGAGGTTGATGTCGCCAAAAAGGGCTTCGAGTCGCCCTGGACCGGGTCGGAGTCGGAATCGACGTCTCCGGCGATGGTGTTTGGGGTCCGCCAGCATTATTAGCGGCGGCAGCGGCAGCGGAAGCCTGGTTGGTGAGTAAAGCAAGGGCCTCAGTTAGGCTATCGATTTTCGCCTCGAGTGAGTCCAGCCGGGCGTCTGCGGTAGGAGTGACTCCGGACGGCATGACGGGTGCGGGGACCACAGGAGTAGAGGAGGAGGGGACAAGTGGCAGGGGCGGTGACGAGGGCGGAACGGACTCGTACTCGAGCCTGAGTCAGCGCCGAACCTGGCAATCTCGTCCGGTTGATCCCGTAGAGAGTTTCTTCTGCTGTAAGGGCAACCCCGGAGGCCTGAGATCAAGGTCCTAGCAGGGGAGGATCCAAAGGCGTGAACATTGGTAAGCGAATACAAATGAAGCTGACCTAGCAGGGGAGGATCCAAAGAGAAGAAACTCTAAGGGTCCGCCTGCTAGGTAGCTGACTATATACTGCTTGTCCGTAGCTGCCGCTGTCGGGCACAGAAGGCTTGGGCGGCGTCGCAGGCGAGGTCCCAGGGCGACCGTCGGGAGGGCGTTGACGGATCGGTGATTGTGCGGGCGAGATGGAGGGCCGGACCGGAGTCGGAACCGGAGTCGGAACCGGAGTCGGACCGGAATCGGACCGGAATCGGACCGGAATCGGGCGCGTCTCCGGGCCGAAAGGAAGGTTCCCCTGACAAAGAAGAGGCGGTAGGGCAGCGGGATGCTCGTCGTCATGGTCGAGAGGAAGCTGCGGCAGTGTGGGAAGATTTTTCGCTCGGATCACACCGCCATCGTAAGTGGGTGACCTTTGCCCGTGACGCCACGCGTCTATCTTCTCGACAACCATGACGGACGACCACGCCATGCGCGCGCTCGCCGAGCTACGCATCCGCATTGACGCGGTGGCATCAGATACGCAGGCTATCCAGCACGTGCGTATCCTGCTCTTCCGCGGCTCCCTGGCGCTGAGTCAGCGCTGCTGACCTCATTTTTTCTTTTCGTTTTTTTCTCATCATGTAGACCCTCGATTCGTACGGGGACGACCCGCTGCGCGCGCTCGCGGCCATCGACGACCAAATGCGGGACCACGCAGAGATGCAGGCGGCGCACTTCGATATGCAGGTTAACGTGGATGTGGACGCACCAGCGGACGTGAAAAAGTGGATTGGTGACCTGGAGCAGCGGCTGGCGAGTCTGGTGCTAAAGCTCGGACAAGGGGAGTGCGAGATGCAGGGAACCGATGTGCGGAAAAAGGAGAGGGAATGAAAAGGCTGAAACGGTGCGTTGTGCTCAAGTTTTAAACTTGAAGTTTATCATCTTGGCCGGCTAGGATGACAAGACCTTGATAGACGACAAGAACAAAAGCAAACTTGAAGCGGTCATTCGTGGGAAACAACATCCATAGCATCTCTTCTTCCCATCCCACTTGCACTCTGCACGCAAAACCAGCGACGAGAAGTTCCTCCACCGCTCAGCTTGTCCACAACAACGATTCCGCTGCACCTAGCATACCATCCGGCTTCTCCAGCTGGTCCCAACTATACGACTTACCTTCCAGTATAGAGTATATACTGTATAGATAATCTATACTATTGAGTTTTCTCAGAGGCCTATATAGGCAGTATCTGTAGGTTATATAAGGTGTTATCAAGTCAACTTCTTTCAGATACTGTACACAGCTTATTATTCAGATGCCGAATGTCAGACCACCATCAAAGCATCAGAAATTTTCCGGCGGCCCTCCGGGCCGCAGAATGGGCCGAATTTTTTCGGCGGTCACACAGATTCCCAGGCAGTGCCGAAATTTTAATTTCGGCGCCGATGTCACACGGTTTTTCGACGCCGAATTGAATAAATTTTTACAGTAAGGTA